TGAGAATGAACCGCATTTTTTCCCATTCACCGTGACACCATGTTCCAACACAATCTGAAGATTCTTAAAAAAACATTAAGAATCTCAAAAAAATGAGGGTTATTTGCTGTCCTTCACTTTGACGGCCCGAGAAATCACAAAAAATATCTCAGGTGCTTTATGGAAGGGTAAAATTTTGGAAAATTAAAAACGGAACCTACAGTGAAAACTACCGGAGATTAGTAAAACAAAAAATCAATAAAACCAAGTCAAACGTCTTTCGTATTAATTCAACAGTCAACATTTGCCTTCTTTCAAGACAAGCCTTGCAGAATATAAAGCAAAACCAAACTCTAAGAACGACATATTTTTTTAAGAATGCTAGAATGTTCCAACACCATCTGAAGATTCTTAAAAAAACATCAAGAATCTCAAAAAAATGAAGGTTATTTGCTGTCCTTCACTTTGACGGCCCGAGAAATCATAAACAATATCTCAGGTGCTTTATGGAAGGGTACAATGATCGATACTTTAGCACTACTGGAACAAGGAAAGGAAGAACTTCCGACAATGAGTCGAAAATCAATGATCCAACTTGAACATTTGCCACGGCAAGGAGGACGTGGGTGGAGGGTATCAGTGGCGTGGCGTGAATAATCGATTATCGATATCTCGCCATTTGAAGCTATGGTGAAGAATCGATTACTAAGGTGTTCGCTGCGAACACCCTGATAATCGATCTTTTTTCATAGGTTTAGGTGGCATAACAATCGATGTATCGCAATTCACGCCACGCTACTGAGGGTATTCCATGATCTTTCATGCAGTTTAATTGCCAAAATTTGCCTTCTATGCAAACAGGACTTGCAGTACCCGAAGAGCAACTAAACTCTAAAAACGAACCACTTTTTTTTCTGCTTTACAGAGTGATACCATGTTCCAACACCATCTAGAGACTCTTTAAGAAAGATAATGAATCTCATAAGAAATGCGGGTTTGACGTCCTTCACTTTGACGGCCTGAGAAATCAAGGAAGATAACTCGGGTACTTTACGGAAGGGTGCGATACAACCAGTGGCGTGGCGTGAATGGTCGACTATCGATATTTCTTTATTTGAGGCTATGGTAAATAATCGATTATTGAGGTGTTCGTCGCGAACACCTTGTTAATCGATCCTTTAGCATAGGTTTAAATGGCAGATCGACCGATACATCGCGAAGCACGCCATGCTACTGGATGCAACTGAAACGAGAACAAACTTTCACCGATGCATTAAAAGCCGATGTCTCGAATTGGAAACCTGTCAGGCTGTTTCTCACGTGTGTCCATTTTTCAGCTGAATGTTGCCCTCCTAAGAAAGTGTGCAGGATCTGCAGGTTTCCAGTTTTCAAGAAAAACGCGAGAAAAATCCGTTCGAAATAGAAAAACCGTGGTCGAAAATAAGAGTTTAGGCTGGATCACATGAATATCGCGGTATTCATAAACGTAGGTAATTAGAGACAGGCGAAAAGCCAAGATTTGACTTTATTTTCACGTAAAACCGCATGCCTACAACTCTCGAGTCCAAAAAATGGGGCGCTTAATTTCCTCATATGGGTGCACAAGTACAGAAACTCGGACGATGTTGGATTTTTTCGGTGAAAAGAGAAAAAGGAAATAGAATAAAAGATAATAAAGTGTTAAAATTGCCTAAAATTGTACGTAATCATTCCGGAAAATTCTCGAAAATTCTTCAAAAGCTCTTAGTAACATACGCGACTTAGGTACACAGCGGTTTAGTAAAAGCAATTTTCATCTCAGTCTTGAGGCAAGCAGGTTTAATGAGAAAGTGAGAAATTAAGCGAATTTCATCTCAATATGGCAGGAAATACCCGATTTTTCCGGCGGGTTTGTGAAAACATGAGGAATTACTCGTTTTTCACCTTAATATTACAGCATTTACTTACTCGATTTATAATAAAACTTAGAAAAGTATTAGACCGCACCGCAAAATCGCGCAAATTACGCAATTTTCATGCAGTTCTATTGAAAAATAAAAAAAATACGCGTTTTCCACCTTAATGTTGCGATGTTTGATGTTTAAAAATGTAGATTACGCATTAATTTCTTCAGGCTGAGTAAAAAAGTCGGATTTAGAGACAGGTATCCACAGAAACTTTCAACCGAGTCCTACAGAGTCGGTCGCAAACCATTAAAAAAAATTCAAGACAAAAAAACGACATAAAACTACAGAGGGTATAATGCGAGATTTTTTTCTCGATTACACCGAATTAAGATTTTCGATAACCGCAACTAATAATTGCAAGTTTCAAGAAGAACTGCTGCACCTCCAGTTTCTTTAGACAAAGATCAATTGAAAAATATAAAAAAAAAATGAGAAATTCATGTTCGAGGCGTAGGTATTTTTATTGAGAAATGGCTGTGAGAAACTCCTCTATAAAATCTGGTTATAATACCAGTGACACGATTGAGGCGTTGGGTGCAGAAAGAGCATTACTTGGTTGCGGCGTTTCGGAATCTGGGACGAGGCGTGAATGATCGACCACAATTTTCCCCCATTTGAAGCTATGGTAAAGAATCGATTATAAAGGCGTTCGTTGCGAACACCCTGCTAATCGATCCTTTTCCATAGGTATAAATGGGAGATCAATCGATAAATCGCAAAGCACACCACGCCGCTGTTCGGAATCTCAACTGCTGATTTTTGTTTTAGAGCGGAAACTCATGGGCAACTTTCCTGAAATTTTTAATTTCCAGCATCGTTAACTCACAAAGAAAATTACTTGTAAGTTTTAACGAATTCAGTACAATTGCTTTGATTATAGTGAATTAAACGTTGACACAGCAATCGAGAAATGCCTTTTAAAAGGGTCTCTTCAGGCTAGGACCCTTTCCAACCTCGATGGAAGTCCAGACACAGCGCCCCCAACCCCCCTCCCGCTATCTGCGAGCCCATGACCGCCCGCCAAGCGTTTCCTCTACTCCTATTATCGCGCGTGATCCGTTAGTGGTTCACGAAGCCCCCCCCCCCCNGGGGGGGGGGGGGGGGGACCACTCAGGAGTCTGGAGGTGACTCATTAACGGCTCCATGGAAGAGTCGCGATAAGGCACCAGTTTCCTCCGATCAAGTCGTGAAAAATCCGCGGATTAAAAGGCGCGATCTGTCAACCGTGGTGTCTCGTGCGGCGGCGTGGCCGAATTGTGCTACAGTTGTGAAGGGTCGCACGTTCGAGTATAGGTGCGAAGACGGAAAAATTCGATTAAACGGGGAGATCTGGCAAGTTTCGGAATGTCTGGTCTGCTCGCCCGGGCCCGTCGACACCGGAAAATGTGGGCCGAGACCGGGGAACTGGAGGCAGAATGGAGGCAAGGTAAAAATTGGAGCGCCGTCGCAGATCGATACACGCGTGCTAGGGAGGAATATGCCGTATGAGCCTTCCGGCGTTGCCAAATTTACTTCGACAAAACGGGAATTTTCAGGCTTATTTCCCCCCACCAAAATTTTCAGAGAATACCGCTTGTAATTCAATCTTCAGTAACTGAAAATTTCAGTAGAAAATATTCGAAACTTTCCTGATAAATGAATTTCTTGTAGGGAGAAATTAGACGACATCCGAATGTTCATGCGACGTTTCTCCTTAGCACAGCAGTGCGTGCACCGTCACCAGTCATTCAACAGAATGATCACCATTTCGTAGAGATCTGAGTGGTAGAATAGTGCTGGGTCCATACTTACTTTTCTGCGGTTAAATCAAAGCCGGAAAATCTGACAATTGTAATTAGATTCACGCTCATTTTGTGACTCTAACCCTGATTATTGCATTTGCTGGCTCTGATTTCTCCGCAGAATAGTGTAGACGCAGCACTATTCTAGCACCCATCTTAGAATTTCGCCTTTTTTGCTGTAGGTGCTACATAGGGAATTCCCGCGTTCACAGCAAAAAAGGCATTGTTATCTAAAATGAGCTCTGCCCTCATGTTACTAACAATTTTCCTGCCACATTAAACAGTTTTTCTTCATTACTTTTCATCTTACAGAGATCTGTACAAGATGTTCCACAAGTCCCGCACCACCCTAGTAACCCCCTAGGGCTCTTGCGCCTTTTCAAAATGATCCTCTTAAAATTTTGAGGGTTCCCAAATGTCGTTTCCTTCAACCTAAGAGAACACACAAACTCTCAAGTCTTCATCTCAATTTATTCAGAAGTAAAAGGGATGATGCCTTGTGCTGGTGGTGCTAGACTTGGGGATTGCCCTGAATAGAACTGTAGAAAGATAAGATGGGACAAATGTAACAACAGAAAATGGCACCACTCAACGGAAATGTATGCTCTAACCATTGGGCTGGCTAACTGATGATTGATGCACATGGGCTGATGTGACTCTCGGTTAATCTTTTCTTTTCCCAGCTCTATCTAGGTTTATTTTTCATTAGAGAGTTCGGGCATGTGTGAAAGTCCAAAAACTGATCGGCCCTTCGCCATTGTGATAACTCTGAACATCAGTTTTAAGGCCCCTCAGGATGTATAGTCAAGCTGTGATTTGACGATATCAACACTTTTTACCCGTTGTTGTGTGATGCTATTAGAGTGAAGATTCGCTCTTCCTCCATCTCTTAGCAGCTGTCCAACTTCGGTAATTTGGTGCCCTCGTTCAGAAAGAGCAATTCAGTAACCATTTTCAAGGCTAGGTTTAATGTAAGTGACTTAACATGGGTCAAGAACAAAGCAAACAAAATATTGGATGGCATGCGACATTCCTAATAGAACAAACATGGTCGACAGACGCATCGTTCAAGCAGAGTTGGAAGTATGCTGAAGGAAGTTGCAGTAATTACTGATTCCTCTTAGAACTATTAAATAGAGTGGCGTGAATATCACAGTCCTAATAGTGATCACACTACCCATGAAATTGCTATTGCAAGAGAGCAATCATCTCAACTGAAACGTAGCTGCAAACCTAACCTCATAATATTTCAAGTTCAGGCAAGAACGACCGAAGTGCTGTAGAGATTACGTACCTCTTCACGACGTTTCAACCACCTTCCGCAGGGGCTCTCCTCCAAAATTTCACTTTCATCCTCGGAATCCTCACCACTTTCCCGAGGAAATCTTAAATCCTGATCGTTGCTAGATCGACTTCCTGACATCATGGTCAGCACAGAAGACACGAGTTAAAATTTGAATCAACGGTTGAGTCGAACGGAAAGAAACACTAGACTCTCACGTAACTGAGTCACGCTCACTCATAGCGAAGCTATCACGTTGAACATTGATATACACATGGAAATAAACTGAATGAAAGAAGCACTGGCGAACTATCACATCGAAACGTGGAAACTAAGGCCGAGCACAATCACTGAAAATCAATTGGAAACTCTCGCTGCGCGACACTCTGCGTCTGAACCGAGAGGCAGTAAACATGGCAATAATTTGCTGACACTCATGGAGAACAATTAAACACCCGTTCACTGAATTCAACGCTGAATTCGGCCGACCACGTTAGCCTTTTACATGGCCCCACGAAAGGCCTGTCGCTCGCGATCAAGTACGAATCAACGGATGCAACGGATGTCGTTTCCGATAAATCGGACTGCTAGGCTGGCGACGAGTTGACAACGATCACGACGAAATTGGACTGCGGAGAGGGGGAGGACCGTGCTGCTGCCTGGCGAGTAGAAGCGTCAACTATTTACGAGCTACCAACATAGTTCAAAAGGAACTGAAAGTGGTGAATTGGTGTACCCACTTTATTAACTAATCATAATCATAAAAAGGCATTCGATAGCCAGAGAAGTTTTTAGATTACGCTGAAAAGTAATTTTAAAACATTACAATAATTCTGTGTCTCAGAATTCTGTCGGCAATCGGATCACAATATAATGTAACAAGAGAGTTTGAACGGATATTTTGGAGGCCTTTGTTGCTTTCTTGTTAACCGCGTTTTTTTGAAAAGACGCTCGTGTTTCTTGACGCGCGCCAAAACGCGCAACCAGCTCAACCAGCTACCTGCGCTTTTACAAGTGGCAGTAAAGTTATGAATGAAATGAAGAGAGCAAAGACTGAAATGCTTCTTTGTTTTGCAAAACTTTAGAGGACTTTGTGCAATGTCTAGAGTAGTTAGGCTGATAAATGGTCAATGCTGTCCAATTTTATAATGTTTGGAGTTCACAATTCACTATGGATCCATTTTGGAGACCTAAAATTTAATTCATAAAAATATTGAAGCCTACATTGCAATGCTATGCTAGGTAAACTTTCCTAGTTTTGTTAGAAAATCTTGTGAAAAATTTGTAATTAGGATCTTACAAAAAACCCATGAAAAGAAGATGCTTAAGCGTCGTATTGGATGAAATCAATTATTCAACAGAGGTACCATAGACTCCATATGTACGGATGGATTCCTTGGGGAGACCTTATGAATTCTATAAAGAAGCCTCTTTAATCAGTTTACCTAGACCCCATGACAATGCTTCCCTAATATGAATTTCATTCCAGCGCGTCAGTATGAAAATAATATTGAATGAGCATAAGTACAAAATTCATATTGGTTCATTCTACTAGGATACCTACTTAATATACAAAATAGGTAGGTATAAAAAACACTTGTACCTAAACAAAAGAGAAGGAGTTAAAGTGGATTTTTTTTCTCCTGTTTTTCTTCGAGGAAGGTTAGGGAGAAAGAAAACTTCAAAAATGTAGGTAAACAGATTTCTATTTCATTTAGATGCTATACCTTACTAAACGACAATGAATACAGAGGCTTATTCTGAAACAATAAAAAAAAAAATGCACCTCAGCCTTAAATTAGGAAAAGAACAAATTAAAAAAGAATGAACTCAATGCTGATGGGATTCGATGTTAGGGTATATTTTCTGGATAGTCGATGCGATACAATGTCTCTGCAATAGAGAAATAGCCCAAGTATTCGACAGATTCTGGTGTTGTATCGTAATGGAAATGACCCCCATCGCCATGATTACTATAGCAGTGAAAGTGCTCCAGTCTTAATTCTAAACCCTGGAAAAAAAAATTAGATAGAAATATGTAGTACATTGCCCTATCAATTAATTCCACGAATATTAATACGTAATTTGATGAGACAAAGACGATAATGCAAAAGCAATTTAAAATTGAGATTCAGACCACACAAAAAATCGAAAGGAGACAAGGAAATTTTAAGGGAATTGTATCTTTATTTTCAACAGGAAAAATGGAATGCTGACATTGAACATCGTAAACTTTGTTACAGCTACTGTGTGTTGGAGAGATCTCACAGGCAAGATTCTTGCAATAATGATGACACCTCACTTTGTAAATTTTGCTTTAAATTTTGCCCTTTTAAGGTTGAAGAAAATGTAAAATTGAGGCACTGGATGCGAAAAGGGCACTCCTCGATTCAAAATCTCCTTTCAAAATCTCTGCTGCTGATGAATCCCTTGGAGAAGACTTTAATGAGTGATTTTTCCAGAATTCTTTTGACAGAAAATTGTAGGACCATAAGGAATATTCAGTGAATTTTTTAGTAAAATGGTTGCATCCACTTTCCTTACAATGAGTGAAATATTAGAGGAGACACTGAAAATTTGCAATCGAGAAGTGCCCTTTTCGCATCCAGTGCCTCAATTCCTTTGAAACATTCTAGTCTCCCTTTCATGTTAACTGAAGGTTCATAATCTCAGCTTTAAGCTGTGCGTTGTAAATATTGCACAGTACAATTAACGACTTGTACAAACCTACACAGAGAGTTACAAGGGAGGTTGATAATGAATGACCGATTATAACGGAATTGAGCTGGAAAAACATTTCATTTAGGGACAATGAGATTTTGAAAGCTCACTTTCAGGGCATATGCGCCAAGAGCAAACATATTTTAAATAATAATTCAAAATTAACATTTTGAATAGGTACTTTGACATAAATGCATTTAAAATACTGGATCTAACTTAATACTCTAAACTCTTACTTTTAACTCTAAATACTGGATTTTACTTACTGGATCTTGTGAAATGATCTCTCCGACAGCAACTAAGGGGGCTGACATATTGATAAAAGTGCAGCTATCTTTGAAAAATTCTTCAAATGAAACTTCCCTAAATTGATCGTTTTCGGACAGGTGATTGACATGACATGTGGCCATTCCTTGCTTGACTAAAAATGTTCCACCAAGTCCTGGAAAGATGAAAATTCAAATTTCATAGAAACATAGAGTAGCCATTGGTATTGAATTTTCATTTACCATAATAATAAAACAATGTTCGGTCTTATTTGTTATAAGGCGGCAGTAAGTAAACATCCTCTACAAATTTCTCCAAGGAGGCAAAATTTGCAATATCTGATGAGAGACTTTACTTCTCTTCATTTTGAGTGCTACTAACAACCGAACATGTTACACTTGCTTTTTGGCAGAGGTGTTGGAATACCTAATGTTTTATACAGGCAATGGGTTCATTTAAATTTTCAAGAATTTCTGGTAGAAAGCTTACTCAGGTATTTAGGATTTTGGGTTCTCCTGGCCCCTTTTTTTCTAATATGCCTCTACCCTAAAGAGTTATTTTTGAACTTGCCAGGAATCTCACATATTCATTGAGCTTCCCTTTGACTTTGATTGTTTTAAGTGTCAATGATGAACTATAAAAATAGGTAGGTACCATGGATTTCCAAAGAATTGCTTACAAGCATGATAGCTCGAATGTTTATCACGGTTTGAAAAAATTTCCTGCTTAGCTACTTACATGATTTGAAAATTAACTGATGGATGAAAAATACATTAAGATGCATAGGTACCTATTAATTTATCAGGAAAATGAGTTCTGAGACCATTTCTTAAGATTGACGGTAACGAGAACTCGCCAGTTCTTTTAGAACAATGGACTCGTAAAACCTGAGAAGAGAAAAACAGAAAGCAATGAAATTATGCACAAGCAGACGTTTGATTTTTTCCCTCTTGTTTTTATAGAAAATGCGTTAATGTAGCTCATTTGCACATAAATTTCTATCAAGCAGACGCATTTTGCACGCTAGATCTCAAGCATCATAGTGTGACACTCGAAAACCCGTTAAATAAATATCGTACGTATTAAATTTTTTGTAAGGTTTCTGAACAAAGTTATCTATTTTTTCTTCCTAATTTCAAAAGTGTTGCATATTTTCTTTTTATTTAATATTTTTTTAGAGTCCAAATTCTAATTGCTATTCCAAGAACTGCGATGAGGATGTTTCAATTTCTGGCAGATATAATTCTAATATTTAAAACGTTACAGTGTGAAAAAATTGAAATCCTAGAACCTATTCATACTGACTCAAATCAACAGTGTTGTAAAATAATTTTAGTTGCAATCAGTGATTTGTGATTAATAAATGAGGCTTCAGCACGTTTTGCAATGCAATATATGAATGATTCCTGATGCATAAAACCATGGGACATCCATTTCTGCCATTGACTCATTTTACATAACAGACAGACATGATGGATTTTGCCAGAGTGCTCGTTAAATATGAAAATTTCTTGACCAGAAAACTTTTTTATGAAAATTTTGCACCTTAATTTGCCACTTTTGAAATTTTTTATAAGGAAGCATGCATGACTCACCTTACTTTTCTCACCTTTGGAAAAAAGTAAATCAAGAAGACATGGAAATTCTGCCAGTGTGATAGGAGCAGATTTTAAGATGTGTTTTTTGCTGATTTTATCCATGTACAATCCCACAGTTTTGTTAATATCAAGCTCTCCTTTGCTGATAGAAGCGTTTACAGTTGTCTGCGAAAAATTGGATTTTCCAAATATTATTCAAGGTAGATTTACACAGGTATGGACAAGTTGAAAATTTCCCATGAGTCTCAGTACGTGTCACATGACTACGTGACGTAGGTTAAGGGGCCCGTTTTTTAATTAAATTACAATCAAATTAACATTCAAACGTTTGTGCGTTCAAACGTTAAAATTAATATTGCATAATCAAAATTGTGAAAAAAATCCCAAAGAATTTTGACAAACGATAAACCGAACATAATAAATCAAAATAATCAAAACATACAAAATGGCGGAAGTTAAGGGGCCTTTGGAGAGCCAATCAGAGGCCAGTTGTTTAGTTCTGTCTTTACCTGTGTAAATCTACCTTGAATATTATTAGTGGAAATAAAAATAATTACATTAAAAAGAGAGCATTAAAGCCCCAAATGGAGATGGCCTCAGAGGGATAGTCTAGGGCCGTTCATAACATTCCCTACAACTCTCTTGGCTTAAAAATCTTCTTGAAATCTAGAATTTGAATCTTTCATCCAGCCCTGTAGATGCTTGCGATTTGACTTGTCCTTTTGGTTCACTTCAAACTTCTGATACATTTCCAACGTTGTCATAATAGGGCATTTGTGATGAGTGGACTCTTAAAGAAAACTGAGTTTCTGAGGTAGGCAAAACTGAAATATTCCTTTCTGCATCTTTTGACCAATAAACTTCAATTTTGTTCAGCTATTGCATTTATTTGTTGGGCACTGCTTTGCGCTTGACAATCTCAACGGAGAAGAGTTTTGTATGGGCATAAAGAAATCAGGCTTGTCTGCAGAACATCACTACTCCACCAGTGCCACTCTCATTGAAGCACATCAGAAGACCGAGGCCAAATCGTCCTGATTTAAAGCGCAGTCACTCTGCTGTGCCACGCAACACAAAATGCAATACTGCAACGAACACCCTCTGCTGTAAATGTTTGCTGCATCTGTTGCATAGATTCTGTGACTTGTGAGACAATGATATGGCAACAGTGCAGTATGAAAATTCACAGCAATTTGAAACTTCAGTAGTTCCGATGAGACAACTCATACCTGACGGGAACAAGTCTCTTGGTATTAACTGGTGTTGAAGAAACAGATTTTACAGTTAGCTAATTGACGAGAATATATTTTGCCCCTTGTTCATAGTTTCGTTTTACTGATCTTCTATCTCTTTCCGAAGCGTTGGTATCGAATATAAACTGTTGCCTCCTCATAAAACACGTGACAATGCAGAACGGTGGCAAACACCATTGAAGACTCACAAGAGATATCAAATTCGCACTGCCACTAAGTGAAAACTTAATCATCTATAACGGGCTAAGTGTCAAAAAGTTTATTTGTAGTTTCACATTTTTAAATCTGAAAATTGTTGTGGAACATAAGCACCAATATCGCTATCTTTCAAACATTATATGCACAACTAATATATTGTTGATGGCACTTAGGACATTAGGCAGCATTTTATCTGTGGTGCTTGCATCAAAATGCCACGTCTAACTAAATTTTTCCTTTTTTGCACTTGGCCTGTTATTGATGATAAGTCTCATTCTCAAAGGTAAAAATGCTTTTCTTCTAACCATTTTCCATTGTGATTATAAGTGAAGCCATTATCCTAAAAATTCTGAGGGGAATTTTTGTAAAAAAAAGATATCTCACCTCTGGCAGATAGCCGCTTTCATGGCAATGGTACATTCCAGTCCCGATAAAAGATGCAGATTCAAGTCCAGCAAGTGGTGGAAACATTTTCAGGTTAAAAGTCCGCTCTAATTTTAATTTCGGAACAAAGTTAGTCACTGTGCCACATGAAATTAAACTTGGGCTGCCTCCAATACCTACAAATAGAGATAAATTGTTGAGGTCATTCACAAGAAAAAGAAAAATTGTCAATTAAAGAATTGTCAATTGTCAATTAAGAATTGTCAATCACCCCCTGCAAATTGCTTGGCTGAGGATATTCAATCTTATGTTACACCTTTTCATGACAAAGTAATACATTTACAACTCCATTGTAGATATTAGTTTCAAGTTCATCAACATTTAAAGGAATATAAGTCAAAAACAAATTTTAAGAGACTTGATGCTGCAAAATTTAAAAATTTACTATGAAATGTGAAGTTGAGGAAAATTTCATGGAGTCTTACCTTCTTTGTTCAGGTAGAAGGGGTCTTCCGCCAAATTGGGGCAATCGACAACGTCTACTTGGGCTTCTGCAAAATTTTCTAATAATTTCTTTTGGAGAGCTGAAAAAGAGTTGAAGAAATGAGTAGACATTCTGGAAAAGAAAAAAGATAAAAAATAAAAAATATCACTTTCAAATTAATGTACCGAGAATTCCTTAATTTTACTGAAAAATAAATAAAAACCTTTGAAGTAGGAATATGAAGGGAGGGATGGGATCCTCTTGAAGTGATAAAAAAGGAGCAAAAATTTTGAAATATAATAATCAGGATACATTTCCTAGTTTCATTACTAGTTTACAGACTCAATATCCAAAATTTAACAGGGCTAAATCTGAGTGAATAGTTTTTTTATGAAAAATTCACAATATGGGTAAGAGGCGATCTGCGTGATGACTAGTTCTGAGACTCTGTTTGGTATAAAGAGCAGGGACAATAGCAAGATAGCCCATCCATAAGCCAGTAAAAAATTATTCTTTAGTAATGAGAGACAATGAGGTCATACCTTGAGCCACTAGCTCCATGTCAGGTACAAACAGGGACCTTTTCACAAAATTGAAATTTCCAAGTTTCACAGACATTTTTAATTTTCAAATATATTTACTGAATATGAATTTGAACAAGGTGATTGAAGAGTTGATTATGATTCAGGTATAGCAACTTGTTTAGTGATGTATTACATTTTTAGACTTCTGGGAGGTAGAGGGGAAGCCATTAACACTAAATTTCCTCACAATCATTCACTGATAAGATAAAAGTTAATAAACGAGTGCTGTAAACTGACATTTAAGTTTTAATTTGTTTACTACCGTACTTTTATTGTTCTTCCATCCCTATAATTGTATATTAGCCATTTGACACAGGAAAAATGATAATTTTACATACTTACTCCGAATTAATCTATTTCAAGTGTTTACCCACGAATTCTTGGATGGGTTGAATGACAAATAAAAACAAGAAACGTGCTTTGGATTCCAATCGAAGGGGGGAGTGGGGAAATACAATAATTTTGCTTCAGTCAACTCTTCGCAACATTAAAAAATAATAAAAAAAATCAGAATGAAATGAACAACAAAAGTTTATCCTCTCAAGCGCTGTTAGGTAATTATTTGAAACTATGGGAATGATGAAATCAGCAATATGGCACATATTGATAGCTGAAGTAAAAAAATTTGTTCCTCAAATATTGAAGTTGTCAATCACCACTACAGTTTTATGTATATGAAAGAAAACTAATTAACAATCACTATTGAGTCTCCTGAGAATTTTCTTCATTCATGCTAATAAAATCACGCAGAAAATTTGCGCAAATAATTTTAATTTGTTTTCTTTGCAGAAACTTGCAACTGAAACAATATCAAGAGATTTTTTATTTTAGAAAAGGTAACTGAATTAGCTTAATTGCTTGAAATGTTCAAGCAGAGTAAGAATATAAACAGAAAGTTTCAAGCCATGCCATTGCTTGGACTTTCATTGAAAAAAGAAATAAGCCGAGAGTAAAATTCCTGGAAGGCTGTACATTGTCTACCAATATTTTTAACTTTTTCCAGCCATGCTTTGAAGTTTTGATAAAGCGCTGCTTTACTTCCAAGAGCCTCAGTTGTGGAGAGTTCAGTGTAGGCAAAGAAATCAGGCCTGTCGACGGAACGCCACCACTCATATTAAAACACATCAGGCATGGCAGACATTGCATGGCACCGCAAAGTGAATAATGTCCTTGGAATCAGGACTGTTCCGGTGAATTCACCTGATGTGCTCTAATAAGAGCAAAACTGGTGGCGTTCTATTTACAGGCCTGATTTCTTTGCCCACACTAAACTCTCCTCGACGGAGCCTCTTGAAAGTAAAGCAGTGCTTTACCAAAAAATCAAAACATGACTGGAAAAAGTTAAAAATATTGGTGCAAAAAGAAATGTTTAGGAGACTTTATAACATTGCAAATCAAAATACAAGTTTTTCTAGTTTCACCATGTAATGCTTCTTTTGGATGCATAAGGCTGACCATATTCAGAGAGGCTAGAACATAGAACAACAAGCAAACTGGCAGCTGGCCCTTTCCTAGAACATTTAGAATTTTATGTGAATTTCTGATTGATCGGAATATTTTTTTTTTAGACATTTACACAGGTAAAAGATAGCATTCATATATGAAATCTGAAAAATCTGTGCAATAGCTTGCTTTATCTGTGCAATAATGTTGTAAATGCTTCGGCTGTTAATTCAACACCACAAAGATGTTGCAACAACAGCCAGAATGTTTACATCAACAAGCAGGAGTTGTTGCGCAGATTTTTAACATCCTGAATGTTAATTCGGCTAATTTTTTTTCTGTATATTTTCTAGATATTTCTCCCTGCAGGGCTTTGTCAATTGATTTTAAGGACAAAATTAATTTAATTCCAATTTTCGATCCTTAGCACTTCACTTAATGGTAGTTGTCTGCCGCCATAAGGTTGTAATTAATGTTTCAATATTTTATGTAATACGATGTGATGACATAATGTTCTGAGTTTCAGGATTCTGTGAAGCAATGTCTTAAAGCACATAAGTTGAACATGACAGTTAACGTAGAGAGGCTAATGTTACCAAGTTTTGAGCCTTCTGAATTGTTTTCATTAATTTGATGGGTTGGAATTTCTTTTTACTTTAGGTAAAAAAAATTGAGAACTGAAACTTTCATGAAAATAAATTTAATAAAACATTTAAAACTTAACGATAAATATTGCTCGATGGAATAACTTTTTCAATTGGAAAATGTATGAAAAAATTGCTTCAGGTTAATTACGGAACTATTTATCAACTAGATGTTGGTTTTAATACCCAGGAACCATCATACTCATTGCTACATCATTTTAAATTAATCACAAACGAATTGTCTGATTCTGCAGGGTTGAAAAGATACTGTAATTTTACCACCTTGGGACAATTGAGAATCAAGAATTTCAGCATTTACACTGTGACTTCCAAGAGATATTACACTACGGAAAAGAATTTCCACAGATTTTAGATGGATTGAAGAAATTTCTCTGAATGGAAAATTTAGGGGTTCTTCAGGGTCAACTGTACTGCAAATTATTCATCAAATTGATTCATACAGCTCTTAAGTGCAGTATGACTTATCAATCAAGATCACTCTAAAAGCTATTGATCAGGGATCAGCGGATCTACAATTTGAGGTCATTGAAACACCATTTATCTTTAATTGGACTTAATATTGTAATGCATAAAGTGAAAAAAAGTTATGATGCTTGAAAATTGAACTAAATAGGCACGTGGTAGTATATCTTTGGATCCCCCAAAGGTTGACTGCGCAAATTTTAATTAGTCCCGGCCAAATTGGTGAGTTTCAGCTGGCCGATCAAGCCGGTAGACAACTTTGGCTAAGGAGAAGTACCCCAGATATTCAACAGTTTCTGGCGTTGTGTCGTAGTGGTAGTGTCCAGCCTCACCGTGAAGGCCAAAGCTATGGAAATGCTGCAGCCTTAAATCCAAACCCTGGAAGTTAGGGGGAAAAAACGTGTAAGGAAGAATTTGCCAAATACTTACAAGAGTTACAGACCTGATATTCGATGCTGTTCAAAGCTTTTGGAAAATCAATCAGGAACGTCCACAAGAAAAGGGACCTTTATCTACAGACAGTAAGTTGGAATTTTTTAGCCAACGTGCGTTAAAAGTCCAGAGAACTGGAAATCTCAATACGGAGGGGAAAAGCTCATAGGAGCACAATTTTCCTTCAAAGAGATATGCTGCTTGGTGCAACACTGGTCATGGCCATTCAGCGTATCTCTTTGAGGGAAAATTGTGCTCATACGACCTTTTTCCATCTGTATTGGGATTTCCAGTTTTCTGGTTTTTTAACGCACATTTGCTAAAAAATTCCAACTTACTGTCTTACGACTCATACGTCTACCGCAATCAGTTTGTTCATCTACAGAGGCAAAATTTCAATTGGAGTGATTTTTGAAGTTCAAAAACATTTCAAGGATGCTTCAAGCAATGTGGTGGGGTGCTAGGTAAGCTATTCCAAAGATTTCCAGTGTCAGAACAGAGGTTTTGTGACAGAAAGGCAGCGAGTTCTAACAAAGTTATTCCATTATTATTATTATGAATCCTAGGGTTTCTTCAACATTCTGACCCCGGCAATGATGCTAGGACACCGAAAAGCTTTGAAACTGTTTTACATAAATAAAAGTTTTTTGCATTTCTTCTACCCATCACTTGTCTACCAAACCATCATTCTTCACAGATTGATTTTTCTTGAGAAATCTGATTTGGAGAGGGACCAGGGGACCTCTTTCCCTGTCTACTGGTGTCTCATTTTTGTAATCAAGACCAGTATCCTACAGAATAAACAGCGAACGGTTTGGTTCAGTTTTGAGTTAATTGAGGGCATAATATTACAATTATGCCACAACGACCCTCAGAAAGTCCTCTACATGCTGATATTCTTTAGTGGTTTCCAATCCATTGTGTAGTTTGTTGATAGGGCTCTGTATTGCCCTCTGACAAAAAAAGAAAAAAAGTCTTGTAAAATAAGAAAAAAAGAGCGAATGAACTCTTAGAAAAAGTCAGCTCTAATATACATGAGCACGCTAGAGAGCCTGGACAGCCTGGAAGAGGTTAAAACACTGAAAGAGGAAAGAGGGCAGGATGTAGTAAACAGAGAGTATTTGATAATTTATACGATACAACAAACTTACAGGATCACACGTGGCAAAAGTTCCTACAGCAACTAAAGGGGCAGACATCTCAAAAAATTTCAACCATTTATTCAAATCCTCATCCGAGTTGATTGGCGTTTTAGAGAAATCAGGCATGACGTGTTGTTTGACTTTACCCTCTTTCAAAAGAAAGGCGCCACCAAAACCTGATAGAGACAAAAAAATTAAAACAGAGGAAATCATGAGTTTTCGACCAAATGATGAATCGAAGAGAAAACTTCATACCTAATAACTAACAAATTTTAGGATTGCCACATTCAAGACTTCCGTAAAATATAAAAAAATAAATATGATCAAATTTGATAATATTTCTTTTTAAAGTTATTTTTCTCGTAAGATAAAAACTGTTTAGGAAATAATTCATCTTGGAAGATTGAATGAAAGAATGCCCAGAATTATTGAGGATACTTTTGGGATTATATTTATACCCAAAATTTTAAATATTACTAGGTAGGTATGATTTTTTCCATACCACCCTTCAGAAAAATCTCAGCCCAAAGTGGCTCAGTGTAGCACATCGTAGTCTGAGGATAAAATTTGTTTCTTTGACAATTTGTTTTAAAATTCTAAGCTGAATTTCACAGACAATCTTTCATAAGTTTTACTCTTAAAATTTGATAGGAAAAAACATTTCCTGAGTCAATCATGAACTTGAAATCGGTATCTTAGTTGTACCGTTACCAGAGCAGAGCTAATAGTTTATTTATTTTTTTTGAAATCAAAAATTTGGGCAGATAATAACACTCACAATTTTGGTAGCTAATTATATTGTGTACAGGAGAAAACAGATTAAATCTTTCACAGAGTAATAATCGTTTTTTTTTTTTTTTTTTTCATTCTTTTCCTTAGAGATTTTTAAATCATATGATCATGATCAAAACCTCCTATGAGTGAAGAGGGCAAGTAAAATTTCCACACATTAAGTTGAAAAATGAGTAGGTATCGCAGAGTGCAGTGTTAAAAGGCTCCACAAGCCATTCATTTTTTCATTTTTTCATTTTTTAAAGAAAAATTTATCCACAGTTTCTATTGAAATTTTCTGTGAATTTTCTTCACTCATATACAAAAATCACACGAAATTGCAGGGAAACATTTTTGTTAGTTTTTCTTGAAGATATGGACTAAGCCATGAGAGGTGCTCATAGGGTGGTGGCCAAAGAAAATAAAATACTCACCAAGATTTTTTAACATTGCAATCAATAAACGCATTTTTTGCATTTAGCCATCGATTTTTAAGATTTATAGAGAGGTAATTTATAGTGTTAAAATTGCATTGAGTCTTACGGTCTAAACACAGGTTTTGACCGGTTGAGCGAAGCTAAGTATTCAGTTCTACAGATCAATTCTTCTGCAAAGTTTACTTTGAAACAAGGATCATTCAAAATATTTGATATCCGAAGATTTGGAGAATAATATTGTTGAAAAAGAAAAAGAAAGCTACTTACCTATAGGTTGGTCCTTGTATTTTGCATGAATTGCCAGTTTCACAGTGGTTATGAAGTCCATATCGTCTGTTCTTCCCTTGCAGTGAACTTTCAGTACCTGAAGGGAGCCAAATTTAGTATAATTTAGACTTATGAGTGACCATTTGCAGAATAGGAACCTTTGGTGAACAAAGGTAAATTTACCTACAGAGCGATTTTCGTCAAAAAAGGAAAACAAATTATGATTTGATTTTTTGGCGTAAAACACTCTAGCATCAGCAGAATTGATTTTTCCTTACATTGGGATGAAAAAATTGTTGATAGCAGTTGTACCGTTTCACATCAAATTTACTATCCGCACTGCATTTTGAGGAATATTTGTTGCCACAGTAATTTTTTAAGAGGGGCGAATTTCTTCCAATCAATTTGTGAATATCAATGTAGGCTTGCATGTGGATCATTGGTGGCAGTGGGAGCAGTAAAAGAAATTTCACTCCTGTCTCTGAGAGATGGAGACTGTATTTTCAAGCATTTCTTCTATTTCTGCACTAATTATTAAAACACACAATTTTCACTGGTTAAAATACTGACCTTGTCAGTTTTCCCTTCTGAGCAAAAAAGGTTAGCTAGCAAGGCACACCGGGTTTCATTGTCTGGTAAGATTTCTGCGTGGTGCTTGGTCCCAGTGGCTGGATCAACTTTTCCAATTCTTGATCCATTGGTAACTTTCCCGTTGTTTATACTGAGATTAAAGACACCCTGCAAATTTGAGGAGTATAAATCAAAACTTAATTATGAAGTGTGATATTAATTCCTCATGGATGGGGTTTCTATGAACCATTGCACAAGTTAAGCTTCAACTTAAAAATAAAATTAGGGTTGCCATAGTTTCTTTGTCTTCAGATTCTCTGACATTTTTTGCTTTTCCCTGACTCCGAAATTTTCTAATTCCCTGACTCTTCCTGACCTTCGAACAAAATTTCCATTATTTTTAAAATTTGCTGACTTTCGCTGGACTTAGGACATAATTTCATTGTTTAGAGATCAAATTATGGAAACAGGCATCCAGTAGCTGGTTAAAAGATAGCGAGCCTAAAAAATGACCAGAAAGGGTAAAGAGTTGGAAAATTAGTGATGTTTTGGTGATCAGTGTTTGTCCGAAATTCGCTGACTATTCCCACGAGTTCCCTAACTTTTCCTGATTTTCCAGGTTTTCCAGACTGCTGGCAATCTCGAAAATAGATATTATAAAAATCTTAAAATCATGGAATTTTGTTATTCCATTAATTTGTTTAGAGCAGATACCACTTGCCTGACTGATTACAAATTTAGTGGGTTAACTTTGCAGTCAACGTAAATGAATAATCAGAAAATTGATATGATGCAAGTTCTTTGAATTCATATGTTAGATAACGATAAACACTCCACTTTCTTCCTCCACTTGACTTGTTATTTGTTATTCTGTGAGAATGATATTTAACGCACATGCAAATAAATATTTTTCTGGGTTACTGAGAAGATCCCGAGCATGGCCGCATTTTGAAAAAAATGCTTTTTAGTTTTCATTTTACTTACTTCAACCACATACTTACTTCACAATTCGTTCCTGCATACGGCCAAGGCCCTGCTCCTGCTCCGATTACAGCCACAGATTTTGATCCAAGAAGTTCCGGTACCTCTTTTAAATCATACACTTTGTCTCTTTTTACAAGAGGTAATAAGTATGGAGGTCCACCGATTTCTAAGAGACTGGGAGAGCCACCCAAACCTGCAAAGTAAAATTCGATTAAACAGCTCTGCTTGATAAAAATTCAATCAACGATTTGGCGGGTAAAAAAATGGGGGGAATAATAGAATGTTGGTGTGAGGAAAAAATCATATTCCAAGTGTATGGGTCCTTTGAATCAGCTCTTCTTCTTAGTAAATGAATTTCATTCAAAGTCTTCTAATCTCAGCATGTTCAACTATTTAGAGTCCTATGCGATAAGTTTACATATTTCTAAACTACGACAGAAGATCGTCTGACGTCACTTTCATGTTTGAAGTAAATGCAAGAAAAGAGATGGCAGATCCTCTGTTGCAGTCTAAAGTGTGTAAACTTATTTGGCATAGACTCTATCAAGGAGAGATTTTTTTATTCTTTCTCTTTCGTCTTACGAATTGTAGAAAAATTCAAAATAACTGTTAAACAGTTAGCCCCTTAAAATTTTACCACTTAGATACTTTAGGTAATAATTTAGTTCAATGTGCATGAGGTTCATAAGAGCATCTATTATTATTATGAAAGTAATACCTTTCGAAGTGAGGTGAAATGGTTCTTGTGTCAAATCTGGACAATCCACAACCTCCACTGTGGCAGACTTAAAACTAGCAGACAAGCCTTTCTCCAAAACTGCAAAAAGAAAAAATTGGTCGACAGTGTAGTTAAAATCATTAAGTGACTACATTTGACATGCTGTGCAGCAAGATTGCTGGCTCACAGGAAAAATTTCGAAAAGCATGCGATACACACACCAAAAAAAATAATAAATAAATAAATAAATAAAAAAATCATTACAGGTGTGCTCTCAAACATCTCAAATTTTCATTCATTTTTGCAGTTATTGCAAGGGTTCTGATGGGCAAAATTATTGGAGTTTCTGGTTATTGAGATGCAGTAAGCTCAAAGTAAATTTGCTAACATTAAATTTACAAATCACAAAGGCTCCGGGCAAGTGCTTCGTTATTACTAGGTAAGTCGCATCTTAAAGGAGCACAGTGTCTTATACAAATTGGAACACAAACTAGCAGGAAGCGGACTTCCTGGTCCATCTTCCTTACCTTACTCACCTACCATCGAGGAAATATTAATGATCAAGCTCTAAGTTGTCCAAAAAACTAGTACAAACCTTTGGCAACTTCTTCCAGCGGAGGGCATACCAAATCCGCCTTTTCAAAGAGTAGAGACTTCAAGGGCAATGACATTTTAGGAAACACTTTGAACAGGCACTTTTATTGGATCATTAAAAATGAATTAATCAAGGAATCAAGCACTACACAGAGGCAAGTACTTCAAACTCAAGCCAATTCGCTGCGAGATTGAAGAAAAAGTGGAGGAGATAAAGTGAATTCTTGAACAGATAAAGGCGTAGAGAGGAGGAACTTTAAACACGATACTGGGGTAACTAGGTAGGTAACGAGTTTAGTTAAAGCCTCGAGAAACTCGTTAATAGCTCCCTCTGTCACGTGAAATAAAAATGGAAATTTACTCGACACTTGGATGAGTAACCATGAAGATTTAATAAGCACCTGCTGAGGTAAAAGTACACTTTGATTTGATAAAGAACTATGAAGCCTAATATTGACAAATATTCGAATTTTTTTAGAGGTGCATGAAATGGAACTAACAATGACTCATGAATGAAAAGAAACCGAAGGCGACTTGCGAAAATGAGGAAAGAAGACACATTGAGGCACTGATAACGATAAGCAACAGAACTTTGTTTACATTTTACCTTCTTGGGAAGTGGGAGGGGAGCGAAAAAAGGGAAGAGGGGGAGAACAGGTTTGCCAGGATAAAAAAAGTCTTGCGGGGAGGTACTTGTTGATTGCGGATCCAATAATGATAAATTCGTTCTGTTGATCTTGGCATGGTTCAAATATGTGTTACGATGGTTTGTAAAGAAGTAGGTGAAGGTAAAAAATCCTGCCAATGCCACACGACGCGCTAACAGCGGTTCTGAAAATACCGTTAAATTGCGTGCTTCGGCCATATTTGCGTTTGACTGTTAGACAGCCTGCAGTCATTTTACCGCTTGTTTCAAAAAGACGCTCCTCTTCTATGCGTTGCGACTTATTTTGACATGGAGATTCCAAAACCACGAATTTCAATGGGAACGCTTCAAAATATTCTGGCACACTTTGTTTTTAGGAGGAACACAAATCGATGGTAATTAAGGCTTGAAATTTGCCCAGGATGACGAAATAATGCAAAGAGAAATAAGTCAATACTTACACTTACGGAGATTTATTTCCCTCCTGAAAAATAAAGTATGCTCGGAAACTTCGCAGCGTTGCGATTAAGATACTAGTTTTGTAGTTCACCCGCCGATTTGTGAGTAAATTACGATGTAACGAGATGAAAAATCGTATGATTAATACTTGTGAAGAAAGAAGGTCCTCTAGTTGCTAACTTCTCATGATGGAGAGATATTACAGGAATGATGGTAAAATATCACAGGAATGAAAGAAAACCAAATAATTAAATTTTTCAACTAAACAGTTATTTATATGTCTTTAAAGATCAATCACAGAATCACAGTCTCACTGCGAAACTTTAGAGTTGAGGAGGGTAACGATAAGTTTCAGCGTAAAACAAGATAAAAACAAAAAACAAATGAAACTGAACTAATATAAAAAATAAAATCACAACAATGGCAAAAAAAAGAATGCCATAAACTTTAATTGACTAACAAGTATACTTAACCAACAACTGAGGAAACATTTGGTGGAGAAAAGTATGTCATCTTGGACGTCTTTGTCCAAAATGATCTTCCTGTCTTTGTTTGAATGAGATTCAGAATTACATGCTAGAGTAGATAGTGATGCTTATTAAGTACATAATGCGTGCAAGGAAACTTAACATGGGATGCTCGAAAAATGTATAAATGAAACAGCGTTTTGATGGTAATGGTTTTAAAACATACGCTCACATTATATTTTATAGAAGAACAAATCAAAATCATTCCTTGAAGTTTTCGTAGAATTTTTTTTGCACAAAGAAGAACAATCTTAGAGGGTTTCAAGATTTGACATGATTAGTCTTCTGTTTAAAAGATAAAATATGAAAGGAAGTCTGCACCATAAAAAATCAAAATACATGGTTTGGCAGTTTCACTGTCGATTGGTGACCATCCATCAGAAAAGGGACCTTTGCTCAGAAAAACTTGAAAATGAGATATTTGTTTCACTGATAGGGAGGGGGTTTAAAAAGCATTTCAACAAACGTACAAAATGCTCATAAAACATCAACTCAAAGCACACTTAAGACGGATTGAATTCGGATTGAAGACTGAGTTTAAATAAAGTTTTTTTGAGAGAAAGCACTTTTAAGTTTTAGTTTGGCCACAAAATTGTTGGTTAAAAATTCAACTTTGAGCCTCTATTAGCACAAAAATTCATCAACTGCTCGATACTTATTCTTCAGTGTGACATAGAGTGGTTTCTATTTTGAAAACTCAAATCCAAATATGTACTTCATTGAACTGGACAAAAATTACTCTCCTGATAAAGGACTCTGCACAAAAAACAAAGGGATACAGGGCCATCTAAATTTTATACTTATTTGAAATGATGTTCCTTACGACTTCCTAGGTGAGATCAGCCTTAGGATCAAACTTTCTAGGGGCCGATTTCAAGAATAGGAGGGCTGGCACGTGAATTTTTCAGCCTTTTAATGCACAGTATCTGGTAGAAATAATGCAACGTCTGATTAGAGATTGTAGAGTTAGGTTTAGCGCAAAGCATCCAGACACAGATACAGAGACAGTCCCGCATTTCCTTGAGAAATTTTGTTTAAAAATGTTGACCAATTCATTGCTCAACTTCGTTTCTTCTGACGTTGGCACATAGAAAGTTCGATTTTAACTTTTATTCATTGTCCTTAAGAGGTTATAAGGAAAATCGTATAAAATAATAAGGTATGGCTGGCGCCTAATTCTTTAGTTTTCTATAAGAGGTCCTTCGCCTTCATTCATTTGGGTCCCTTTTCTCAAAGACAGTCACATTTAAATAAACGAATTCATGAGTACAATGATAATTCTTCATACTCGGAACATCATAAAATTGGAACATGTATCTAAAAAACAAAGTTTCATAAGGCTATTAAATAGGGATAATGATTAAAAACTAAAGGTATGGTTCGTCTTGCGACTGACTGAGATTTTTAGCACCTTCCTATAGAATTACACTGAAAAAAGAAAGGGGATAATTATTTGTTGAGAGAGTTCAGGAAAAAACATTTTTTTGCAAATCCCTAGGAAAAAATATTTCACAAACCAGACGAATTCTTAAACTTTTCAATTATTGTATGCAAGTTTAGAGAAAATTTTACAACATGAAATCACATAAAAAGCTCATCGCCACAAAAAAAAATGTAATGAACACAGTGTTGACATATTGAGACATTAAACCAGCACTGCATTCCTTTAAATGTCGTGTCTTTTTCTTGCTTTAGATTCATCCACACTCGGGCAATTCATAAATTAAAATTGATAAAATTAACAAATGAAAGAATTGATCAATATATTCTTAAACCTATGTCAGATGTAGTGTACATTGCTTGATGAGGCAAACGAAAGGAAAAAAACGAAAATGATATAGAGACCATGGATGGGTTGCTTGTGAAAGGCAGAGAGCAGTAAAAACATTGATTACCAGAGCATATCTAGTCACCCTGTCACATGTAGTTTAATTATCCGCGCAGTAAAAAAAAAATAAAACTATTCCGACATTCAAAGAAGTTCCCTTGCTATGTATTTTGTGAATACAAGTAACTCGATTTTTCCTAAAAATTGTTGGTTGTGTTTCTTTGGCTTTCAACTTAAAAAAAATGACTAAAAAGGAGTGCCGGGTGCATGAGATCTGCAAGGAGAGGAAAATTCTGAATTAGCCTAGCCTAACATAACTCAAGAACAAGCATTTCAAAAACAACATTGTAGTTTGGTCAACTCAAAAACCTTCAATAAAAGAAGAATCATCTCAGATCTTGTGCAGGTGCGTCTGCTTGTTTGAAATTTTTTTCAAAACCTTAACTCTGAAAATATTCCCACAGCTAAAATATAATGAAATATTTTGAGGACTTGAAGATGAACATGATTCATACTAAGACAAGCGATGCTTACATCCATGTTACCTTTAAAATGGGTTTCCATCACACTTGTATTTAGATAACTGAATAAGACATGAAAGGGGCGAAGCTGACTATATAATTGTGACTTCAAGCCCTGAAGCTGTGAAGTCTCATTTTCATGAAAAAGAGAGAACTTTCCCTCTCAAGAAAGAGATATTGCAAGTTAACTATACCGTCAACATTTAGGTTTCTTAAATTTATGGCACTTAGTACTAATCAACAATGCTAATATCCTTATTTTAGGTAACATCAAGCTGAGTTTCTTGATCAAATATGAGTTACTTCGCTAATTTGTGTGATAGCGAAACACAATGAATAATAGACTTTTGACTTATCTTATTAGCACCGGTCAAGATAATTTTTTCTCATGACTGAATTCTATCCCTCGGAAACATGAAAAGTGAATGAGCGCAAGTATAGATCAATGAGCAGCAAATGAAATTTTATGTTGATTCTAAATAAAAGATTGGCAGAAGGAAAATTTCATTGGAAAGGAGAACGCAATGAATCACACTTGAACAAGAAAATTGCTTTTGCAGAGATCGAAGTCTCCATTAGAAAGTTGAATTCAAGATAACCAATAGATTCACCAGAGTATGACATCTGGAATTATATAGATCTACAAGAAAAGGTATTTTTTTAATGCGAGAAGTAAAACCAGTCAGGGGTAAAAAAAAATCCCTCTCATCATGCTCCATCACTATCTGGTTCGTTCAGTAAAGGTGAGGGGTTTTTGTGGCTCGGTGTTTTGACAGTGCCTTTCTTTTTGCACCCAGTGAACTTCCGAGCTAGCTGCGTAAACTTTTTGCGAGAGGCTGGAGATAAAAAGACACAAAGCAGAAATGTCAGTTTTTTCTATTTGTCAGTTAAGAAGAGGAAAAATATTAACTTAGGCGCACCAAAAAAAAAGATTTCTTGATAGATGAAAGATTAAGATAAGCATTGAGGCCATGGGATTAAAAAGATGAATTCTTAGGGGTAAAGTTAAAATCAACTGCACAGCATGGATTTAACCTTTGCAATCAAGTATTGTAAAAGACTTTGTCCAAAGTAGGAGAAGAAGCTTAACAGGAGAAAAGAGCTCCTTTGCAAATATTGATGGCTAAAGGGCGAAACCTTGTACCTCTCTTTGCGACGTTGCAAGACTTCCTGTCATAATTTATTTTTTCTTTCAAAAATTTCTCAACTTGATTTCTTGGAAACTTCTTTGATTTTTCTTCTCTGTGAGCAGAATAATCTGCACAAATTTCAAGCTAAAAAGATGACTCATTTCTCCGTGGGAACTCAGATAGGAGCAGAAATGTTGTAATATTGCACTAGAACAATGAGGTTTGGCTTTTTGGTCATCAATATGTGACTAGAATTTGATTTAAGTTGCATCTGCGGTATATAATCAGCCTATTAGAGCCAATGAACCTCAATAGGGTGGAAGTCTTGAAGGTTCAGTCATTATGGAAACAAAACACGTCAACTGGAATATGTTTTTTGATATTACCAAAACATAAGGTGGATTTGACTTACTTTTCCCCATATTTCGCAGTCTTTCTCGAAACGCTGCATCATCATCTATATTCCGAGAGGGCTGACTTTTAGAGACTTTACCATTTGATGGACTATCTGTAAAAAAGACATAAGCGAATGTTAAATAAAACACGAAAACAATTCTGAAAAGAATAGAACATCTTAGTTCTAAGTTTGAGCAAAATTTTGATGCAGATATCATTCTCAAACTACTCGTTCTGCATGAAAGGACCCCGCACACCTCTTATGGGAAGCTGCACCATGACCAAATACTAATTCATTTATTCCATTCGATTCTCCTCAAGATGCTGGCTTTTTATCGCCGAATAATTGAATCTTCTCGGTAGTTTTTTGCGAAAACGGTGCATCGTAGAAAGTTGGCGCAATTTTAACTTTTGATCAGCATCTTGAGGAGAATCGAATGATATAAATAAATTAGCATTCGGTCATGGTGCAGCTTCCCATAAGAGGTGTGCAGGGTCCTTTTGAAACAAAAACAAATTATATTTTATTATTTAAACCACTAACTCAGTGTGCTGGAGCACTCTGTGACTAACTCTTGCCATAAAAAGCTATCCTTTGTAATCATTCTTGTTAGACACTCCTCTGAGTGGTGGTCAGGGTGTCTACTAAAACAGGCTGGCCAAAAATCAGAACTTTTACAGTACTTTTTCAGTACATTCCCAAGAAATTCAGTACCTCCTCAACAGAAAAATTCAGTACTTTTTCAGTACCTTCAAATGACGAAATTCGAAAAATTTGAATTTCCTGCTCAATTTGCAACAAAACTGAAAAAAATTCCGGACTTTCTTGCAAAATTTCCGCAGTTTTTTAGGTACTTCTGAAAAACGGCCCTTGAAAAATCAGTACCATTTCCAGACTTGAAGACACCCTGGTGGTGGATAAGTATGAATTTTAAGTTAATTAGCACTGATATTGCTTATCATAAATATGGTAAGGGCGTAACTACCATAAGTCACCAGCTTACAATGGATCTAGTGTCCATAGCGCTACTGAAAATAGAAGTTTAAATGAAAAAATCAAAAGAGAGGTACCTATTACTGAAAAATGCTTCATTAGTTACCTTTATCCAAAACGGAGAGAAAGTCCTTATTCCACCTCAGTTCAGCTAAAAATTCTTCATTCTGTAGAAACATTGCAATTCTTTCATCTTCTAGTTCACTTTCAGACTGTAACAAAAAAATATTTACCACTTTAATCACTTTCATTAGTGTTGTTAAACATAAACGCTAAAATATAAGCGCACCCTGTAATCACTATAATCACAGGTGCACTATAACCATAATGTTTTCTTCCATGATAATGAGAATATGCAGGGGTACAACAACTTTTCAACCACACGACCAACAGGTTGCAATGCACCAGTGCAAAAATTGGGTAAATCACACTTCAAGGTGCACCTTTTGCTGATTCAAATCATGATAATGTGTATGAAGAGAACAAAAAAAGGTCATCATTTTGAACTTTGTCAGGTAAAAGGTATTTTTAAATGGGAAGGCTAGAAACTTCCTGCAAACTTGCGGATATGAGTACCTACCCATTTTGTTCTAAGTTCCCTCATTCTAACCTGATGTAAATTAAAATGAGAAAAAATTTGTTTCTCTCAAAATTTGAGAGGAGCTGGACCATATCTTCCGTAAGAAAATTTTCCTTAACTTTTAGCAAAGGCTGAAACCAAGATTTTCTGCAACAAAAGAAATTTTGTCTTGGAACTTTAGAACTCATATCTCCTTCAAATTTTGAGCTTTAAAGGTCAAATTGCGCCAAAATTTTCAGAATATATTCTTGTACATATTTTAAAATGGTTATGGAAAATTTTCTCCTGGGAGATAAGGTGCCTTTTCACAGATCTGGTCACAAATGTATTATAAAATTTAAACTCGTGATTTTAAAACCAATTTTGGGAGCCATTGTTGAAAGAACTTTTGAAAAACATTGTACTGTAGGCAACAAGTGTAGCAGATAGCTAATAATTGGCAATAACCCTCCTCCTCGCCAAAATCGCCACAATTTTTGGGCCCTGAGCAACCTCCATAGGACCAAGTGTCCATTGTCTCCCAGTAAAAGTACTCAAAGAAAACCTCCAGATTTTAGAAAAATCAATTTTCTTTTGGTTGCCACTTAGAAAATGATCTAAATGGCAATAAATGTACCTTTTCTCCCAGATTAAATCGCAGGAAATCATCAGGCAAAGGTCCTAGAAGAGGAGGTGCCCACCTTTTATGGGCTTTGAGTGGTGTTGATGGGTGGACATTTTTCACCGATGTAGAAATGCTCACAATCTCATCATCACTGAAAGAGAAAAAAAATATTAAATTGGAGCAAAAGGTTTAAATATTTTGACAAAAAAAAAATAGTCTGGAAGATTATCCATGACGGTTTTTTTTTTCTAGGTACTTCAGAAAATTTAAAAAGTGATGATTAGCTTAAATTCCACTTTCTTGAGTAATACCTACAACAGAAATTTTTGAGCAGCTCATTTATTATGAGAGGCTTTGAAAAGCTTAATACTAGAAAGCTGAAATCTAACAATTCTTCAATTCGAATACTTAAATCATCATTCCCCGCACGAAGTGACGTATTGCATCCATGTCTCAGAATTCATGCCAACATTTTATTTTTGCATTAAAGAACTATCACACAGATTTTTCTGAAAATATTAGTGTGTTACATTGAAAGTATGTTTCAAGAAAAATCTATTTTTTCAGTTTAAAATTCAATCTGTGGATACAAGAATCCTCCACAGCAAATAAAAAGTAAAGAAAATACCCAGAATTTCCTTCAGCAAATGAAGATGTTTGAGGGAAATCTGCCAGCGATGTTCCTTCAGGAAATTCGTTCCTTATTTTCTCATTTTCATTGTCTGTGCTCATTGCCAGCAACTGATCTATGGTCACATCGACTGCTCCTTGATTTGACCTTAGCACAGCCTGGAAAAATGAAAGGGTTAAAAAGTAAATAAAAGGCCAGCACTATTAAGTTGCACTGACAAAATGGTGACAAGTATTGACTTCTTCAATATCAACCGTCAGTCCAAAAGCGATTGAGAGAAAAAGAAGAATCGGAAGCAAACTTTATGTCATTTTGTGGTTTACTTGATTGATTTTTACAGTTAACATTCTTGTCTGAAATTAAATCGGTAATTGGACATGGAATTTCATTATCATCCATACTGTCGAGCTTTCAAAGCCAAAGCCAAATTTCCTCCAATAAATTTTGAATTTTTGAGGAGAAATATGAATGTTTCTTCTTGAAATTTACATATAATTTAGGTCTGATCACGAAAAAAATTCTTTGACAAATTCGAAAAAAATTATTAGCAGGTTTTCTTGAAAATTCTTATATTATCAAAGGAAATTTGACAACACCTGAAGGCTCATACAGTATTTGTTCTTAGCATGGCAGCAAACTGCCCAAAGTGGGAAACAAACGAATTTCAAGTTTCCCTTTGAGGTTGTCACAAGACCATGCGAGCCCTGCTTCATGGAGATAGTAATAGCAAGAAATTGCTTCAGTTTTTCCCTTGTGATTCGAAGCTGCAAGTTTGCTGAAAACTCACTATGGTGACACCTAATTTTTCCATTGATTTTCCCGTACCGAATGGTGTTTTCAGGGACATGTCGTTTTGCATCATACTTAACTGAAGTTAATAGTCAGATCCAGTTCATTACATTAAACTAATTTCCTTCATTTGGCCAGATCCTTCAAAATTTGTAAACACTAACCAAATTTTACATCCCACATACGACTAGCAAAGAAACCTAAGTTCGCCACTACCTAACACAAAAGAAACATCGACTGAACTTATCTGAGGAAAATAGTACAAACCTCTATCACATCATCATCCATGGCTGGAAACATCGTCTTGAAATCTGCCATCGCTTGATGGAATTCTAATTGTGTTGTCTGTGGTTGAACAGTTGCCATTTTGGGAGCAACGTTCAGGAGCTTCAAATGTAAAGCTGCAAAGATATAAAAATCATGGTGATATCACTGAATAATACTTATTTATATTATTACAACATTATACAAGACCAAAACGGGATAATGAAGCTAAGTAATTCAAAGGAGATTCTCTTTCAATCCTTAAACTTTAAGCGATGAACTCTGAGTAAAGCTAAGCAAATCGATACGGTCCGATATAAACGACTCGTGATAATGTCAGCTTTACAATAGCCCTCCAAGGTTAGTGAACTGAACTTATTTACTGTAAATAAAAATGTAAATAATAAATAAATAAATAACTTTAAAAAAAATGTTGCCTCTTTGAGCTCGTAGGTAAGTATGTACCTACCTAAAGATCGGGCTGATTTTGAAACTTGACGAAGAGTGAGACAAACAAGGAATAATTCTACATCATGGGTTCTTCATATCATCAAGTATGTATATTCATGTTGTCTTAAAACTTGCACGATTTAAAAAAGTCAGATTGCCATTCATCTTATCTCACTTATCAAGAAATCACCTTATCACTTCATCACAGACACAGACACGATAGCTAGCACACCTAACCTCACTTTTCAGGAACTGGGGCAATCGGTAAAGCCCTGGTAAAGCCGAAGCAGCAGTGCACAACGCGACAACAACGGCGTGATCGACTATTGATATTTCCCTGTTAGAAGCTATGGTAAAGAATCGATTATCACAAGTCGTTCGTTGCGAACACTCCATCTATCGATCTTTTTCCATGGGTTGCAATAGCAAATCGCACCAATCGCAATCAAAAAGTTTCGAATAATCGTTGATGATTTGAAAGTTTTCAAAGCTAGCGAGCATGCCGAGCATGTGATCCGAATGTCAAAATTGTACAGTTTTAAAAGTTATTAATTCAAGTTTTGTAAAATTTCACTCGTCAGTGCCTTCACATCTGTCATTTCCAAAGTATTAATTAATTTCTTTCCTCGTCACTTTCTGCTATGTAATCTCATCTTCCAATCCAAGTTTGAGCCGCTCTCCACTTCCGTTATCTTCCGCCTCATTCTGCTTTCTTGCTTATAGTAACCACTTTCAGCATGCATACTTCTCGATCCAGGTAGTACTTGCCAGTTTCCATCACAATATATTGTTTTTATTCATCCGTTACTTGTCATTTATGTGCTGGTGGAGCATCTAATGGACTAAGTTTTGCAGTGTCCGCTTGTGTGTTTAAGCACTAACTCCCTCTGTTTAGCAGATGAACGGTCAACTTTGGACCAGACACGCACCCGAATGCGTATTCACATGGCATACCAAGCTACTTGTCAGGCCACCTAACGTGCAGCTTGACAGGCTGCTCAGGACTTGATGAGCCCTCCACGGAAGCGCTCTCTTTCCTTACCGAGTAGCTCATTAGTTGGAGGACTCATTGAGCTGGGCATCAAGTTGCATGTCAGACGACCTAACGAGCAGCTGTGCATGTCGGGTAAGTGTGCCTTCACTGTAAGGAACATCCGTGCTTTTACTGAGGACTGCTCTATGTAGTGGGAATTCATCATGAGAATCAATGCAGAAAATCTACATCAATGTCAGCACCAATTTCTCGTAGCTATTTCTTAATGCCTCTTCGATTTCAAACAAGGATCTACAGAATTGAGGATGTCTCAGATTTTCATCGTCTTCAGTTGTAGTATACTTACTGAGATTTGTGAAAATTTAAACCTGCCTGCGGGCCGATTATTGAAATTGGAAAGCCTTATAAGACATTGAATTGCGATACACTACATGGTTGAGATAGGGCTTTGTCTTGTCCTGTCGGGCTTACATAGTTTCAATAATTGGGCCACTGGTATTTTAGAAACCTTATAATCTCCTCCTTAACCTGTATTCAAGACAACTATCACCTACGTTTCAATTGACGGGAAACTCTCCTAGAGGTGTTGTCAGCTAAGTTGACGATTGTTTACTTTCGGTTTGCAAGTGCCAACGACGAATTTGAGCCTCTGAACAAAGCGGCGTTCGTTTCTATCCACAATGAAAACATCAGTCTCATGATCGTATCGTAAAAAAACTACTTATCAGTCATGATTTGCGACTTTTTTGTGGTTGTGATTTCTGTGTGGCTACAAATTAAAGTGTTACAAGGTTTGAAAGTTTTAAAAAACTTATCTAAGCTTGTGTTCTTGCTTCTGAAAGAGTCTGATGTTTTCATGTGGATAGTAGTGACGCGAAAACGCCTGCAAACTGAAAGTAAACAACCGTCAACTTCGCTGACAACACCTCTATGAATGTTATACACTCAATTTTTTCCTATTTAACTCACACTGCCTTACTGATTTCTTTCAGTCTGCATGATGATTTAACCAAAATTTCTCCTTTTTCATAATTTACAGCAGCGCTTGATAAACTTGAATGACCCTCTTTGCATCTAGGCTTTGCAGATAATTTAACATCAATGATTTTTATTTTCCAGCAGCTTTGAAATAATGGCTCCGAGTCTCATTACGTTCAACAAATCCCACGAGAAACGGCTGGAAGAATACAAAGAGATTTTAGGCTCTCAGCTTCCTCCATCACAAGTTTTTGAGCAGTGGTGTGATTATCTTGATCTTGGTGTAGAGCCAACCGGCTGGTGTGGATTGTGGAATATATCTCGAGAACTCTGCGAAGACTTTGACATTCCATTTCCTTGCCCTGTTTTTGTCCTTGTAAGTTTTAATTGCGCTACCTGTATTGCATTAAATAGTTTTATCATAGTTATTACAACTAATAATTCAGCCTGGTGCTCACTAGAGTTCATTATTTTACTCTAGTGCTAATTTTTTGGCCTTGGTCTCTCCGCAGAATGGTGTACACCCAGCTTTATCCTGTTACATTTAACTCCTTTTACCTAGATGAAAAATTAAGTTTTCTTCAAAAACCTCCTGTTGCATTCCTCAGATTGCAGGCAGTTAAGTTCTAGTTTTTGCTACGAAAGAGCATGACGACGCATCCTGATTTGACAATTTTATCAGGAAATGTGACTTTGAATGCTTTAATCCCTAAGCTAGGTATATTTTCTCATTGCAACATTCAAATTTTTCTAATTTGGGTCTGGTTTGACTCCTGGGCATTTTCCGTGCAATGAGTGAGTACAATATTCTTGAAACATTTGAATCGACGTATGCGAAAACGTCCATTTTCGGGGACAGGGTCTCATAATTGCGGTTGGTTTCTTTGGTTCCACAACAACGATAAATAGGATGAATCTCTTCTGCAAACGTTTAATTACACTTAGAGGATTATTTATAAAAATGTTCTACTTTCCTAACGTCTTAAACCATCTTGTGTCGTTAAGGTACAACGAAACTGTCCACTCAAATTCTGAAACACTGTCTTGGACATCGGACATTTTTGCATATGTCGATTCAATTGAAGCAATGGTATTGATTTCTTAATGTTGAGAGCTGTGACACATAACGAAAGTGTAAGTCGGCAATCACATAACTCGGTTTGCAATGTCGCCGACTTCCTGTCATACTTTATTTTTTAAATGGAAAACTACTCAACGGCAATTATTTAAAACTGCCGTGGTTTTTCTTCTCTGTGCGAAGATAATTCTGCAAAAACTTCAAAGAATGATGTCAATTTGTTCTCCTTTAAAAAAATAACAAAAGAGGCTGAGATTTTCAGACACTGCAAACGAGTTATGTGATTGCCGACTTACACCGTCGATAAGTTCCTTTTTCCAAGGACTATCACATCCATAAGGACGAAAACACTGAATGAAAGATGTTATGACACACCTCATGAATTTTATCTTGTAAAAAGTGACAAGACCAGGCATGAACAGTATGTATCTGCCATTGCCTAATTTAATTGGGAAATTTAATTTCTTACATGAAAACGGTTTCGCGGATTTTTGAGCAAATTATGATGAATTTTTTCCATAGTACGAAGCGAATTCCTTAAAAGTTTCAAAGGAATCTGCGCAAATGTTCTCTCGTAAAGAATTAAATTGCTCAGTTAAATTTGGCAATAGCTGATGTGGCTTGGTTCCTTTCTGTTGAACGCGGTCCAGATCATCCTCCCCTTGGTTTATTTCTTAGCCTTTTTAGGTTGTAATAAGTGTTGGTTGCTTTAGGGTCAAATGAAGGATTACCCCTCAAAACCCAAATTGGGATAGATTCACTCTTTTTTACTTGAGTCCCAAACATTGTACAACCTAAATTGGATGTATTTCTATCAAACAGATTTATGTGCAGGTGAGAAATATGGGGTGTGCTCCAGGACACTGCATAAGAAACAATGTAAACGTGGGCGTGATTCTTTGAAGAATCAGAAAAGCGGGATTCTAAATTCAGCAAACAGAACTATGTGCCAACTGAATGTGGGACTTATGAGCTGTGGGCATGGCACAAGAGCGTTGTGGACAGGGCTCATGAGTTAAAGCGCCCCGACGACGATCTTCATCTCACGCCCCGGCTCCATCATTGCTGCCGACGTCACTGGCGCTTTATTGTTCTCATTCACTCTTACAGCCAGAGAACTAACGAGCACACCCCATATTTCTCACCTTCACATAAATCCGTTCCATAGAAATACATCCAATTAATGGCCCTTCACAGGTTATCGGAATCATCCTGGTTTTTTCAAGTCACACAAAAAGAGAATTTGAAAAACAGGAGATTTAATGATCCCATGTTTTCATCTCTCATTATTAGGTGGAGCTTGTGAATTTCAAAGAACTAACTGCACAAGTGAGGGTCAACCGTGTCATGCATGAGGTTTCACTGCCAGAAGTTATCTCAGATGTTCCTCTCCTAAATCTCTATCCGACTTCAGAGCAAGAAAACAGTGCTCTTAACGTTGAATTTACTGCAGAATGCATTGATCAATACAGGTACTAGTTTCTTTAATTTTCCTAAATGTGTACATTGAAAACTTTTGATGGTGTGAAAAAAACTAAAAGAGGAGTCATTAATAGAAAATGGCCTCATAATGACGATGATTGCATCAGGAAGGTCTGAAATTCACTCCTAATTCCACAATCTGTGCAAGGAATTTACGCAATTTGAGTTTTCTGCTTCGAAATGTTCCCCAGGAAAAAGACATAATTTACACTGATTTCAGAATTGCTTGTGAAACTTAAAATAGCTACCGTTCTGTTCAGCAAGTGGTTGCGAAAATGTTGCCACAATGTTATGGACAAAAGTAACGTTTTAACAACAGTTTTGCAATTTTTTAAGAGTGTTGCTAACGGCTGTTGTTGCATAAGTGTCATGTGTGATAGTTCCTCAATTAAGAATAAACATCAGTTGCAAAGCAAGAAAGTAAAGATGTCAGGAAAAAGGCATTTGAATTGTTCTTTGTTTCGGTGTAAAAGATGGCGCACTGACAGCGGCCATTTTGTGTGTCGACCTGTGACTAAAGGTTTGCCTCACGCTTGCCGTGATCTGTTGATCTCAGGATTGATTATTTTTGGTATCTTTGCTGCTCTTTTTCTCGATTTTTGTCTTCTCGTCTAGTATTTTTTCCAAAAGTTGGTATTTCTTATAGTATCAAATTAAATTACCTAATGATGAAAATGAGAATAAGTTTTAGAACATTGAAATGTATTTTAACATGAGCTGAAGCATCCAAATTTCTTCTGTGGTAGTAAGTATTTAAGTTTATCTTTAACTAAAGCATATATTCTATCGTAACTTCAAGACATTGTATTTTTTTTTTTTTTTTTTGTAGGTTATTTTACAATCACCTTTGGTGGCCATGGGATTTAGAAGAAATTGGTGAAATAAGCGATTGGGTCTCCGTTCATCTTGAGATGCGGCTTCAACTGTAAGTACAAAGATTTTCCTCCGACATAACATCTTCAGTTTCCCTTTGAAAAAAATTGACTTTCTGGAACTTATGACCCATTCAACCAATTGCTCAATTTATTGGTATCCTCACTTGTTTGCTGTAACATATTTTTTTTTCTTTCCCCCCCCCCCCCCCCCCCCNNTGAATAATTTAACAGAAACATAACATTTTAATTTGCCAAGATAAGTAACCAACTTCTTTGAAATTACATTTTTTGCTTGCATATAAAAATATTATTCAAAGAAAAAAGTTAGCTTTCGTCCGAATATATTAGCAGTGGAATTCGGGTAGTGCTTGTATGCAAAAAGTCTAAAAAATTGCTGAAGGATTGACAAATTGAATTTGCTTACCTTGAAAATAGTAAATAGTAAGGCAAATACTCAAACATGGGATTTATTACTCTTTTTTGCAGATACTTTGATATGCTGTCAGGAGAAATGGACTATGAAATTGGCTCAAAGATCCGTCACTACATCACCTCTGGAAAAGATATTTACGAGGAAATTAAGGAGTTGGAAGAAATAATCAACGAGGAAGATGTGGCAGCCAAAATGACAGAAAGTGAAGCTTTACTCCTGACCAAACGAGCAGAATTAGATCAAATCAAAACAAAGCTGCTTCTCTTTGAAAACAAAGATTTCAGGTATTGTATGTTCTTAGTATTTAGGGATAGAAGAAAAATTAGTACCATCATTTTAGCACTCGTAGAATAAGAAGGCATTTGTTAGTTTCTTATCTTGTTCGCCCATGTTAACCCTTCCTAGTGCGACAGGTCTGTTTTAGATTCACCAACTGTGACCAAAGCTAAACCTTGCCACAGACCTTCTCAGATCTTCATGATTTTTTTATTGAAAGAAACGACTCATCTATACATATACTTTGACCAAATTTCAATTGCTTAGGTCAAAAACTTCCTGAAATCAATTTTTTGCTCTAATTCTGGAAAACCATGGTCAGATGAAGTGTTTTTGCAACCACAGTGTAAAACCATAGAATCAGTCAAACACAATGGAGTGTTTACAGTAAATTTTAAAACAAACAAGTCGGCAACTTTGCGGTGAATGAGACAGAAATGCTGGACAGTCTCCAAACTTTTATGTAGCACCCCTTCAAAAAAATCAGTGTAAACTTAAATGTATTTCAACTTTGACACTTCTCATTTTTGCCTCCCAATTTTCTTTGCTTCTCTTAATTTGAGGCTAAATTCTTCTTTTCTAGGCTTATTGAAAGCAGGAAAAAACAAAAAGCGAGAGCATCCAAAAAGAGTGCAGAAACCACCGTAGTTCTGTCAACCTGTTCTAGTCAAGATGCTGTCAGCTATATGAATGAATTTGGGAAGAACTTCAGTGACACTAATAAAATAGTGTAAGTTTTTTTCCACACAGCTATGTCCCACACATTCCATCAATCGATATTTTGAAATGCAAAGAAATTTTAAAATTAAATTCTCTTTTCTTAAAATAAAGGAATAAAAGTTTCAAATACAGTTACTAAGATCTCAAACTAAAAATTCAAGATTCCAACAGTTTTAGTGCGAAATCTCCGAAGCCAATGTGAACAAAGAAAAGAAGGACCTTAGTCGTGAGAAGCTCAAAATTGAGCAGTAGTACTGTGGTAAATTCAAGTTTCTCATGAATGTCTTGACTTGATAAACGTATGAAAATGTTAAGCCCAACTAGAGTTGGAATGCTCTTATGTTTGTGGTGAAGTGATATCTCTCATGTTGGCGACTCAAATCTGTCCAGTAATTATGCAACTTTATGCAGTCTCTCATTATAAAATTAACCCATTGGACCACATTTTGTAACAAAAAATTACTTTTTCTGCGTAGATTTAAAAACGAGATGTGTGCTACTAGTTTCCCTATGCAAATAGGTGCTTTCAAAGTATGGCTAGGCATAGTAATTCTTTCAATGCTGGACTGGAGATAAGTGAGTTTTTAATTTCATCATGGCATGAGTATATAAATCAATTGATTCTCTCAGTTCGAAAAAGACCCATCTCGAAGAAATGAGATTTTTCTAGAGATGATAAAGACTGGAGAACAGCCAGAAAAGGGGTGTTTCAATCCAAAAATTTGAACATCATAACAACTCAAGTTGGGTCGTCTTCGAACTGAGAGATTCAATCAGATAATATCTTTTTTGTAAAAAAAAAAAAAAAAAAAAAAAATTGAAGAAAAGAATGAATTTGCTGGATTCTGCTGTGTACAAGTTTTTAACCTTATTTGCCAGAAGTTGTTACTGAACCTGCTGCAATGATTTTCTCTGTAGTTATGGAATATTTTAGCTAATTTGTCTCTTGTTAATATTCCAGCCAATTCTGCTCGGACCCCCAAGAGGCTGTCATGAAAGCGCTTCCAGGAGATACTATTGTTATATCACCGGGATTCTTCAAATTAAACAGCAGCGGTGCAATTGAAGAAGGCGGCTCCATAATTGGTAATCCTTGTCATTCTTACATTTTGCAAAAATTGTCCTTTAGTTTATTTGTTCGATGTTCATCAAATTTGCTGGCTGAAGCGTCTAAAAGTTTAAAGATCCGAATAAATCTTAAAAAACTCATTATGACACTTTGCACAATACGCTTTCATTGAGTTCAGAGTTTAAACGTTCTTAATTTTTACACTATTGGGTGCTAATTGCGTTTTATTTGTATTTTTTTTTGTACCCAAGAATAATATTTTCAGTCTTATAGAGGATGCAGTTAAAATACTTATCTCTATACTAACTGTAAAACTTTAAATTTTTGACCAATTATAGGGTCGAGAAATGAGCACCAACTCTTTAAAATAAAAAAAATAAAAAGGAAAAAAAAAAAAAAAAAAAACACCTTTATGAAACAAGTCAACAAATCCGGAGTAGGTAATACAAATTGGAGAAAATTGTTGTCTCATTCGCATCAGCTAGCTAAATAAAATCTGAAAACAATACAGGAATTAATTTTGAACCGCAGCTCTCCCTCGAGTTTCTCCATTGATGGTAATCATGATTCTATTATTTACCCAGGCATGATCCCAGACAATAAGCCTGTTCTCTCGGACTTGATTTCAAACTGGTCCCTTCTGGAGTTCTGCAGCAATGCTCGGTTAATGAACGTAGCCATAGAAATTCAGCAAGTCCACAGTGGCATCATCGTAAGACGCAACTCACTTACCTTGCAAGATGTATCTATGAAAGCGCTCTCATCTCTGCAGCATCAAGCCATCGTTGTCTTGAAGAACGGTGTCTTGGAAGCAAACAATTGTACATTTTCTGGTTTTGATGTAGCCCTCGTAGCGAATGAAGGTGCCACTGTTGTCATCAACTCTTGCACTTTCGAGGATAACAACTTCGCCATCAAAGTAAGTATGAACAGTTAATCTATTTATCCACTTGATTTAATGATTTTGACAGCGGCACAGAAAGAATATTCTCTCCTCATTTTTTTTGGATGCCAGGAACCAGTGTTTCCTGTTTGTCATCTAAGTACATTCTTGTGACCAACTAATTAGTTTTTTCTAATGATTTGATAACCTATTGCCTTTGAACTGAAAATTTGCCTACTTTCCATAAATCATGAATTCTTCTCTCAAATTATTTTATTAACCGGTTCCATCCACATCAAATTTAAGTGTCCATAGATCATTAGCATAAACTCGTTTTTTCCAAATATTTGTCAATCTTTTTGACAGATTTGGAAATCTGCAGGAGTGGGTTGCAAATCGTCATCTTGAAATTTTTACACAATATCAAAAATCCACTTGGAAAAATTATCTTGCTCAGTAAGTGGCAAATCCCTTTCATGAAATTTTTCTTGAAGAGAAATAACCTCATTTTATCATCAAATATCAACATTTGCATTATAACTGTAGTAGAACCTAACAGGAATTTTTATTTTTGCAGTTGTGCGAGGGTGCTACGGTGACGCTCAATAACTGCTCAGTCTATGCCTCAAAAAATTGCGCCATCCAGATTGAAAGTGGCAAAGTAGTTTCTCAAATCAGCTCCATGGAGCTGCTTCATACGTAAGTTGCATTTATTTTTCACATCCCAAGCAGCCAGGAAGTAATATTAATAACAGTTAATGTTCTGCTGAACAAAAGTAGGGAATAAAAATCTCCTGGACTGATGGCATGGAAAGTACAGGAAGAAAATTGCTGGGTACTTTTTGGTTGAACCTTCCATTGATAAACAGACAAAAATGTTCGATTTACAGCCTGACCCTCCTCACCTAAACATTAGGGAAGCTCTGTGGTATTGTGTGATCCAGACCACTCTTATTTTCTAGGTACTTCTTCACTAAGGGACTTCAAGACCGTTAAATTCAAATTCCAAGGGGCTGATTACCGAAGACAACATCCCTTTTCCAGGCCTCTACATCATTTAGCAACCTGATATTTTTTGGGTGGGGGTCAGGGGTCAGTATTTTGGACAGGGAAAGATCGATGAGGCTAAAATCGCACGCACTTTCTGATTTTGATAGAATAATTTAAAAATTTTGCTGGGAACCTGCACTTTTAAAATCCTAACTCCCCCCTTTTTATCCTCAAAAGTGATGTGAGGAAGCTTCAAGATCATAGAACTCTGATTTCTTTGGGTCGGCTCCTTATTTGTTGCTGCAGTCGCAACCTTTTCTGACCTGCAAGCTGATTGTTGAAATTGATAGACAAAGCATTAGACAGAGAAGACAAAGGGAGTGTGGAGCGATCCTATTGGCTAAAATTTGTGATTCTTATAGACTAAGGGGGTAAGTGATGGACTAACTACAGGGTCTTTCGTACGTTGCCGTTACGTAGTCCATTACGTACTTCCCTTGTCTATTGCAACCACCCACTTCCACCCATAGGATCCTTCCATATCCCTTTTGTCTTCTTTGTCTATAGTTTTGTCTATAAATTTCATGTTTTGGTTGTTCCAGAATTCCAGGAGTGAAAGCAGTAGGTCTAACAATCCAGAATAGCTCAAAAGGGGACGTTCAAGTTGTTAAAAGGAGAACTGGCATCATCCTAGAAGATAACATGTAAAATCTCTCCTGGATCAAATTATTAATTATTGGTGCTCCATTCTTATTGTGAAGAACTGTTCTTTTTTTAAAAAATAATTATTGCTCTAACTACCTCAATTTTTTTCGAGTTCACTGCAACATTCTCTTGTTTTCAAAACAAGACTGAGACAAAACAAATGAATTTCTTATATTTTGATTTTTTTAAAAATACGTCATTCAGAGGATAACAAATTTTAAATGTCCGAAGAATTTTAATACTTTGTCTGCTTGGTTCTTACAAAATTATATTATTCCAGTTAATTTTGTTGCCCGTAAAATTCAGGATAAATTAAATCATCGAGTATATTGCTGTAGTTTTGTGATCATGTGTTTTACAATCATTTTCACTTACACACATTATTTTTTGCATGTTCTCATTTTAAGTAATTTTAAATTTTTTAACATTCCATTCCTTTTGTGCACTAGTAGATGCACTGTTTTTAAAATTTGACCTCAAATTGGGCCATTCTTCATCCTTGCATGTTTTTTTCAAAATTAAAATTCCATGCTCAATTTTTCTTTCCTTCTTGTATGTATTAACCATGTTTCTCCTACTCCCCTCTCCCCAAGAATACCACCTATAATCCCTAAAATTGATGTATCATAAAGTACTTATACTTACACTTTTCTTTCTGTATTTAACGAGTCTTTTGGAACCTCATTTGATTTGATCATTGTATCAAGCTAGACTTAATTTCACAATATTTTATCATATTATTTTTTCTCTATCTGCCATATCATTGCATCTCCATCTTTGTCAGTGTCAATTTCATAATACTGTCTTCTATCTTTTAAGAGTTGCTGAGTTTACGAAATGTAATTTTCCCTCTATTTCGAAACCTTTATCATTTAGACATAAGAAATCTGTTTTTGATAAGAGCTTTTTTGGGGGGCCTAGTTTTTAGCTTTTAAAATTTGAGTTTGTTTCTTCCATTTTTTGTCAAAAATTCCTGGAGAATTTTTTACAGAACGTAAGAACTTACCCCCACTTTTAAAATTACCTTTTATAATTTAATTTGGTTCCACATTTACCGAAGCACTTGCTAGTGTTTTCTCCCTCTGTCTTAAAATGTGATAACAGATTACATAATTGTTTTTTTTTACTTTTTCAGGGTAATTGCTCTTTGTGCCTTTTTAACGATTTACATACTTCTTCTTTTTAAGTCTGACTGACAATAGATTAAGCATTCAATTTAAAAGTTTTATTCCCAGTTTAACTAAATAAAAAGCAAAAAAACCGTTTAAGTACCTCTCAAGAGTGTGGTTTCAGAAGTTTCAGCGTACAATAATTCATAATATTTTGGCACTTCGTTGTACAATTTTTGTTTTATGATTAAAAATGAGTTGATTTGTATAAGGTCTTTTTTCTGTTTCTCTGATTCCTTGAAATTTTGCTTCATCTAGTGTCAGGTAAATTGAGGGCAAACGTCAAAAAGAGCTGCAAAATCACGAGAAAGGGGATACTTTTCATCCGGAAAATTGGACCGCACCAAGCAGAAAAGAACCAAGCCACATCAGCTATTGCCAAATGTAATCGAGCAATTTAATTATTTACATGAAAATGGTTGTGCGGATTTTTGTTCTAATTTTAATGAATTTTCTGCACAGTGCAAAGCAAATTACTTAAAAGTCTCAAAAGAATCCGCACAAACGTTCCCTTCTAAAAAATTAAATTACCCAGTTAAGTTTGACAATAGCTGATGTGGCTTGGTTACTTTCCACTAAAAGCAGTCCAACTATTGTTCAGGGAGATTAGAAAATGGACTTAAAATGCTCTAGTCTTGCTGTTACATCCTAAATCAGCTCCCTTCAATTCCTTAACCATGTTTTCTTTTATTACTAAGTGATAATTAGAAGCATTGGTATGAACAATTCCGCTCTTGCATTAATTACTGGTGCCAATAGCAGCCTTAAGTACAAAATGTTTTTGCACCTCGTCATCATTGCTTTAGCTGATACTCTATTATCCATTATTGATTAAATGAAAATTCGAATGGATCCTAAAACTTCTCGTTTACCTCTTGAAATTTAAAGTTGAGAATATTGAATGAGGCCCAGCTAGCCTCGTATTACCACAACTGGTTTCAATGCGACAGACACAGTTAAGGTCCCTGAACCAAACGTCTAAACTTTGAAATCTGACCTTTAAAAATGGTAACTTCTGGATAGGCTGTCCCAAAACTACTGCCAACAGGCCAAGATTTCAGCTTAATTGTGCTAGTTATTGAAAAGCCGATAGCTGGAAATCGGTGTCCACATTGTAATTGACCTATCAAAAATAACAGCCAGTATTTTAAAAAGTGACCTTCGTCAAAATATCAGAATGAAATTATCTTTAATCCTGGAGAGTTTTTTTCTACACTCTTAAAAAATCACTGCTACTTGGTGAATTTTGACCACCTAAGCTCCACAAGGTCTTATTTTAAACTTATGGACATGGGCTACAATCTCGTACAAATTTTCAATATATTATGAAGATCTTTCATATAAGATCTATTGGCAGTAATTTTTGAACAGCATGTCGATGGCAAAGTGCATGACACAGCTCCGTTTACAATGTTGCTGACTTCCTGTCATACTTCATTGTTTTTATGGAAAACCAGCCAGTGTTCGAAACTCACAGGTGCCAATAACGCACCAAAGGCGCCTAAAAAATGAAGGCTCTGCGCCAACGTGGCCTCTAAAAATTGCCCCCTAAAAATATCAGGTGATCATTCGAAAATTTCAGCACTACAAATGAAAACTTTTTCTATTCTTCATGGTTTCATCCTTAGTGCTTTTCACTTCCCCAAGGAACAGCTACTTACTCTGTTACGAAAACATCTTAGGTTTAACTTTTCACTAAATGCACCGTAATATATAGGCAAAAAGTCAATTTGGCCCCTAAAATATCTTCAATGGCGCCTAAAAATCGGGCTTGATGCGCCACATGGCTCCCAAAGCTCAAAGGTGAGTTTCGGACACTGAAACCAGCCGACACATTTTTAAAAAAACTTCCTTGGTTTGTCTTCTCAGCTAGAGCGGAGTCATCGTTTGCTGAGAAAAATGTCAATCTTTGATTACCTCATAATCAGCACTACTCAACACGTTAATACATGAAGTCAGATGGCACCAATGATAAGTGGTAACCTAAACAATACTTGACTTTGGTCTCAACATACGATGCCTCCGCTAAAGTCCGCTCCAGCAAATATTCTGTGTAAATTCTAGCCATAAAGTTGGCTTGTTTCTCTTCAACAAAAATAATGTAAGGGCAAAGATTTTGAAACTTTGCAATGAAAATGCGTAGTTCCGCATTTTGGTCAGAAGGAGCTTGTAGTGAAAGAAAAAAGACAACGCATACAGCTCTATTCAATGACTGTATTAGACTTGAACTTAACTTAAGAATTAAAAAACAACTATTATATTTACAGAACATTTTCCCCTTTTTTAGACAATACAATTAGTTGGGAAATCTTTTCAAAAGTAAATTCACTTGATTTGCTGATAGTTTGGTGGTCCCTGGGGTCAAAATACCAGCACGTTCATCTTCTTTGAGCTTCTTTAATTCTGCTTTGTGTTGCTCCGCACACGTTTGAAAAGTAGTGATCTCATTACTACAAGGACTTTGGCTGAACTCGTTTTTCTTCAGACAGCTGAACATGTTGAACATTTCCTGCAAACAGTAAGCTTGACTCGGTCCTTTTCCTCCAGACCCGACTCGATTTGCCAGTTTCAATGGATGCTTTGCTAAGGGCGTATACTTCACCTTACTTTCGCAACGAGTATAAAGTCTTGAATAACTCCTACACTGAAGAACCATGATGCTGACGACGGTATGAAAACTTCTGGGTTCAACACACTAAAAGCTTTGACTTCAAAATGCTTGGAAGAAACCACAATAAAATTTCAACATCATTGAGAACAATTCACGGCATTTACGAGGAGAATCATTAAATTGTTCGGAACACTGTCAAACCTCGTGGCGAGGATTTAGGAAATTGAATTTGATGAAGAATAAAATTAAAATTAACGAAATACATCCACTACCTCGCGATCTGACTTCCTCTTATCAGAAAGAATTCGTTCTTACTATGAGTTCATGGAGTCACTCCAGCTACATAGTTACCTACAAAGTTAATGTCCGATGTTTTCGGAACAGATAGTATTCTAAAAGATCCGGAACCATCATAAAACAGCGCAATTCGTTCCGGGGTCACTTTTTACCATTAATTTACCCGTTTGGATTCCTCTATTATTACGAATCACTGAAATTACCTTTATTGAGCAAATTGGCGGGTAGAAAAGGGAGGGCAGAGATCCGTCGAGATCAGATTATGGCTGGGGGAGAGGTAGATAATGAATACCTGGTGCGGAGAGGGCGAGGGAGGATAAGTGGGATGGGTGGAAGGGGGTGGGGAGAAAGAGGGAGGGGATGGGAAGGGACTGAAGGGGCGGGAGGGTAAGGGTATCGAAAAGGAGGAGTAAAGGGTACAGAGGTGAGTGAGGGAGGGACGGAAGAACAAGTCGGTCATTTTGAGTTCACGAATGACGTTTCCAATGCTCATGCTGGGCATTGGATGTTCTCCCAGTAAAGTGTAAAGTCTCCAAATACGTACTTCACTTCAAATTAATTTTTTTAAATTATAAGGGTTCGAAAAAATGAATGATCATTTAGGTATTCCTTTGAAACCACCACAGTCCTTTTCTTTGATTATTGTCCCAGTTTTTGATTTTTGTTGCCATCTTGAAGTTTTGTGACGTCAGGCGGGTACCACTTTTGCCAGGCGTGTGCTAGAGTCAGTATAAAGGGACTCTAGCGTGTGCCAGGCGACTACCGAATCTGTAGCGCGCATTTCAAATCTTCGCCTGCTCTCAACAAGATTAGAACAAGATGAGGACGAGAAGCATTGTTTGATAAGTGAGATGACGATGAGATATAAATTAGATATAAATGATCCGTCACATTCCTTCCTAGAAATGTGCCTGTTCCAGCTGAATTTAGTTTTTTATTTCTGAATGATGAAAGAATCTCGAAGGATCGAAATATGACTAATTACTAGCTCTGTAGCTTGCAAGATAACGCCCTTACCTGAGTTATGAATTTTTCCAGTATCGTTGAAATATAAGTAGAGTACCTAGTAGCGGCACCCAGTGTCACAGTATGTCATACCTATTTGATGTACCTAGGTAATTCTCATCCAAACAAGAGAAGAATAAATATTTACCTTCATTAACACCAAGTAGACGAAAGTTCCACTGTGAACTTAGTTGGCCAATAAAAATGCAAACAATGAAGCAATTATTTTTATTTCCTGACTCCAAATGGTAAGAATTATGGTAAGAACTCTAAGGCATAGTAAAAACTGTATTTATCATTCCTCAATAAATACAAGGTTGACTGTTTGCATGGAAATGATAGTACATTAGTTGGCGGCTTATCTATTATTCTAAACTTTAGATTAAGTTGATGAAGGTAGCAGGTTGTTGTCAGCAAGAGCTGTTGATATGAGTATGTAGTTTAGAATGGTCTGCCAGAGGAGCATCATTAGTAGGGGTCTCTGGATACTATGCCACCTCTTATCAAGAATGTTTATGCTAATTTTGTTGCTTTGTGGTGATGGGAGAGATAATTTCAAGATTATTTTGGTAAAAGTCGGACAAATATGAGGATGCCAAGTTTATAAGAAAATCTCACATACCAAAGTGAACATTGTTTCATGCCTCTGCAATTTTCAGCTTCGGGCTAGGTTCTCGCAAGAAGGTCAGCACAACGCGCTGATCAAACTTTTGTGGAATTTCTTGTTAATTTTAGAATGTGTGCCAAAGTCACAGTAAGTATTCCACAAAAATTGCAAATCTAAAAAATCTAGAAAAATAACAAGTACCTCTCAGCCTCCGCGCAATTCGCACCCCTGCTAATAAATGTTGGAGAATAGAGAACACTTTACCCTCAAAACATTACTCGCACTGATTTTAAACTAATATGTAATTATATGTGTACGATGGTGGATCTGAGCTGTATACTTACTTACCAAACTTTGTTGAGCGAAGTTGTTACTTGGGGGAAATTCATTAACTGCTGCCAAGGATTCACAAACTCTGACCTTGATAAATATTTCCGACATATACTTGAGATACAGTCAGATGTTTGGAATTCTGGACATTCAGTTATTGTTCACATACAAAAGAAATTGACTAACAAATACAACCGTTTTATATTTACATAACTGCTCAACAGAACATACCGACAGTTGTGATTAGTTTCTCGACAGCACTCTGACAGCGGTAGGATAGCTAAAGGATCCCTACCCTGCGGCAAAAATGGAGTTGATTGAAATTTTGATTCACATGGTGCTAATGCTGTCAAGACTCAAGACAAAATTACACTCCACGCACAGTCAAAGAGTATTTTGATAAGTAAGATTATCCATTAAGGAAGTTGCACAAATCACAAATCAAACCGAAGGACACGGACAAACCAAGGAGCCAGCCATAGCCAGCTCAGAAACTCGGCAATTCAGTTTCTCTCACTGCAAAAGGTGGAACCATCCAAAGTACCATCAATGTTCAGTTGAAGGGGTGAATTACTTATTTAAAGAGTGCTAAGTCATTTTGGGACTTTTTTGAAGAGATTTAAAGGAAAAAATTGGAAAATGCTCAACTATAAAATGAACGTAAACAATCCGCCATTGTATCAAAGCTGACGCACAAATTCTCGTAGGCAACGATGAAACAAGCGCTAAACACAAGGGTAAAAAGTACATACGTAAATTGATTTTGTTTTATAAGGAAAATGGTGAAAAAGTTAGGAAATTCATATTGGAAATTGAAGCTTTAAGATATAAAGAACTTCAGATAATTAATACAGTTTATTTAGAAACGGAGTTAAAGAAGGCAAAGTTAAGGAAACTCAGAAGGAACAGGGTATTTTGTAGGAAAGGGTTGGTAGGTTTAGAATTGAATCGACGTATCGACGTATCGAACAGCGACTATCGGTAGTCTCGAAAAACCCCTGTAAAATACACACTAATACGATAAGCGGTTACATCAGATCTTATGGGAGCGCACTCACACATACAAAAAATCGCTTTTTCAAGCGATTTTTTACAAGAGAACAGAGGAAAATCTCACTAGCGATCGAGATTTTTCGAGATTTTACATTGATTAAACGGCCCAGGGTGAAAGGAAAGTTCTCTCCAGTTGATCACTGGGAGAACAAAAAGCGAAGCGAGGGTGGGAGTATATTGCTTCGTCAATTTATCTACTATTTTTCTTCAGAATTGATTCCAAGCAACCTCCCCGGAAAATTTCAGGAGAATCAAAGTGGGAAATGAGGGGCGAAGTTGTCTATTTCCTCCATCATCGAACCTTCGCGAGTCGCGTAAATTCGGAGCAGGCTCTAACGTTTCCACAAATTTATTTGGTCGTCCGATTTGATTCATCTTATATTGAGTATACACTCAGGACCATCCTCGAAAAATTTAGAGAAAATCCAAGGTGGAAGTCTGGAGCAATGTTGATGAAATTCCCCATCATCCATATGAGTCGAGTCGCGGATATTCAGACCAGGCCCTAACGTTTCCACACTTTTGTTTGTTCAGCCGATTTGATTCATCTTATATTGAGTATACACTCCCAGGACCATCCTCGAAAAATTTGGAGAAAATCCTAGGTGGAAGTCTGGAGCAATGTTTTTGAAATTCCCCATCATCCCTATGAGTCGAGTCGCGGATATTCCGACCAGGCCCTAACGTTTCCACACTTTTGTTTGTTCATCCGATGTGATTCATCTTATATTGAGTATACACTCCCAGGACCATCCTCGAAAAGTTTAGAGAAAATCCAAGGTGGAAGTCTGGAGCAATGTTGATGAAATTCCCCATCATCCATATGAGTCGAGTCGCGGATATTCAGACCAGGCCCTAACGTTTCCACACTTTTGTTTGTTCATCCGATTGGATTCATCTTATATCGAGTTTACACTCCCAGGACTATCCTCGAAAAATTTGGAGAAAATCCAAGGTGGAAGTCTGGAGCAATGTTTTTGAAATTCCCCATCATCCATATGAGTCGAGTCGCGGATATTCCGACCAGGCCCTAACGTTTCCACACTTTTGTTTGTTCATCCGATGTGATTCATCTTATATCGAGTTTACACTCCCAGACCATCCTCGAAAAATTTGGAGAAAATCCTAGGTGGAAGTCTGGAGCAATGTTGATGAAATTCCCCATCATCCATATGAGTCGAGTCGCGGATATTCAGAAACGTTTCCGCACTTTTGTTTGTTCATCCGATGTGATTCATCTTATATCGAGTTTACACTCCCAGACCATCCTCGAAAAATTTAGAGAAAATCCAAGGTGGAAGTCTGGAGCAATGTTGATGAAATTCCCCATCATCCCCCAAGTAGCATGAATTGCAATTTCATTGCAATGGATTGTGAGTTGATTGGAATTTCATTGCAATGGATTGTGAGTTGATTGCAATTTTTGCTTGTTGCCTATACGTTCATTTGAAGGCGCTGAAAAAAGTTGCAATTTTATTGGGATGAACTTGCAGGAAATGTAGGTTATGCTTGTTGCCTAACCTTCTTTTTCAAGGCACTATAAAGACTGCAATTTCGGTGCGATCATGTTGAAACAAATTCACGCCATGTGCCTGGCATCCAATTTTCTAGTTGTTTTAAAGTTTTTTCGACTTAAATGTCTCACCTAACCCATATAGCCCTACATATTTTGAAAATATTGTCACCTTTATCAAAATATTTTCATGGCAATATTGTAAATAAAATATTTTCAAAATATTTTGAAAATGTTTTTAAAACATTTTAAAGGAATATTTTGAAAATGTTTACAAAAAATATTTTTAAAATAATTCAAAAATATTGCCTGTAAACATGCATGTTAAAAATATTCCTCAAGAAAGTTTTGAAAATATTTTAAAAATATTTTTAAGTTCTCAAGTTAGTATGTGGTGTAATTTACACCGGTGTAAATTTAGTGTAAGTACCTATTACGTGATATCGAAAAAAAAATCAGACAAAAAAAATATGAAAAAAAAATAACACGAAAAAAAATAAATAATAGGCAAAAGAAAGAAGCCT